TGAATTATGCATGCCGGCTATTTCGAGTGGCAGGAAGAAACGGAAATCAAGAAGTTTATTATGGATGAAGGCATCACACACGATTCCACGTTGCGGGGCATTACATTCACCTGCCCTAATATCTTAGGATCGAGGTTTTATTATATCACAGAAGTTTATACGACTATCGATCTCGACTCTCTGTCCCACTGTCGCGAGTACGGAAATTAGAAACGAACGAGACCTTTGCGCGACCGGTATGCGCAAACAATTTCGGGCGAAAAGAGAATATCAAATTACAGGAACTGTGGAACGTCACGGAATTACCGGTGACGTTGTAATGAACAATTTCGGCGACTCAAGTCTGGCAATGTGAAAATCCTACAGTGCCAGAGGACGGTCGAACGAGGAACTATCGAGGCACGATCGATAATCGAGCCGGTTCGGAATAACCGGGACCGAAAATAAGCGCGAACACCAATAATTAGAGGCTATGGCTGATCGGAGTAGGAACTTTGAGCCGGCCCCGAGATGAAAATTACCGAAAATTGTGCGGTGGTCCGACCCGCAAACTTTTGCGCTACCTCGACAATTTTGTGCAAACTACTAGAATTTCGCGTGCACGCCGGAATTTCGCAAGTTGCGCGAGTTCCATCGGAAACTCTAATTTTTAATCGTTGAAAACAACCGTTAACAACTATACGAGAACGAGAATCGGTTGAGCGCGCATTTCTGTTAACGGGAGTAACAGAGTTTCGTAGATTACGGCGCGCCCTAACGTTCCAGCGAATCCTTTATTTTCATTGAAACGTTGTTTATCTTCGGCTGTCACGATAGGTGACAAACAGCAGCGCGCGTTGGCAGGCGCTAAATTTAAATTTATTCCAAGTCCGAGCGTAGTTAATGGGCTTTCGGTTCGCTCCTTGTTTCTTGTAACCATTGTTCCACGACGCCCGTATTTTTTTAACAGTCCACGGTCCTCCGTGAAAAACTAACCGCGATAATAAAATCGGCTACAAGCAACGCGACGAGAGGATTTCACCCGGGATATTATTTTTTCTGTCGCGGTAAATCTTTCTGAAAATACGCTCTGTCGATCGCGAAGCCGAATCCCGCGCGGGCTCACTGCCAACGACCTCGGAGCTTCTGCTCGAGAAGTGAATTCCCGATGACAAGAGTCGAACCGCGTAACAACGCCTCTTCGCTCGTCGATACGACGTATCTCGGATCCGTTCCGGCACGTCCGACCATCTCGCCTCGCCTCGCCTCGCTCGCCTCGCTCTGCCTCGCGACGACCAAGTAGAATAGGACACACGGCTCCTTCTACGACGTTATCTCGACCCAATACCCTAATTATTCTGGAAAATTTCGTTCGAACGATCATTTGTTCCCGTCTAACCGATAAGGGGGCCTTCGTTACGCAATGCAACATGTGTCGGAACCCATCATTTTTCCATCTATCGTGTTTCCAGACCTCTCGTTACACAGTCAACCAACATTGGCAATAATAATCAATCGAACAGCATCGAAAGGAAAATAGAACGCGTTCCAAAGTCAACACGATTCTCGAGAACGAAGCTGTACGAGAAACCCTCGGGTAATCCAAGAACGTAACCGCTGTAAGCGCTGAAATCTTTTCGAAAGCAAGTTGGCTGGTTTCTCCCGAAACTCTTCGAAAGCATTTCGTCCGACAAGTTCGCAAACGTTCGGCGAAAAGTGGGATTCCGGGGAACACCGAGTCGATGGAGCGCCGTCTTGAGTATCCTCCCAACGATTAAGGAAGCAGGAGGGACGAGGTGCGCGGGGAACATCAAAGGGGTAGTTGACGCGAATTCTCAAGCGCGAGGAGTACTCTCCGATGAACTACATTCGCCGTCTGCCCGCTGGCTGATCCGGACGCGAGGCAGGTTCGATAACACGGTTCAATTTATGCAGCTAAACAGCCCGCCACGTGTTCGCAATAAACTAGTATTTATAGGAGAGAGCTCGCGCGAATCGAGTCACCGCGCGCTATTCGGTCCGCACGCGGCAAATTTTTCACCGGTCCCGGCGTTCCTGGTGTCCGTCGAGCAGCCGGTCCCCCGATGATGGGCCAGGACTGGATATCAAAAGCGAGTCGTCGCGTGGACCGACCGACCCAGATACGTACACCCGTCGAACGGGCCAAGATCTAGCTGGACGATACTGCGCGATCCCAACGAGACGCGGCAGCGATTCGAGGGAAATGGAATTTGAGCAGAATCGAGGCACGTCATGGTAAATTCTTCGACCAGCCGAGAGGAAAAAGATCCGACGTCCCGGAGTTCCGATGAAAATAAACGAAGCCGAAGGGAAAAGCAGGGGGCTGGCGAAGATACGAGCGGAACGTATTCGTTCGGAACAGCAGTGTTCCCTCTGTTTCGGACTGGTTCCGATATTTCCCTAACCGAGGACCGTACGGTGTCAGCCAGCGGACGTTTCTATGATTTACGCGTTCCCCGGGCCACGTTTTCGGCGCAAACCCGCCGTGCGTTTCTATTTATGAGGCAGTCGACGCCAGCGAGATCGCCTTTACCTGTCCTCTGTCACGAACCTGGTGAACGAACCGTCCCAGAGATCAACAACCGGCAAGAAAAGCAGCTCTGCATCTTTCATGAGAGGAATTCGTCGGTCTTTCACGATTATTCGCGTCTACCGTGTCGCGACGAAACGGTTTATCTCTCTCGGAACATTGCGCTCGAATTGCAATTCGAGACAGCGGATCTCTGTAATTTTACTTTGTTGCGCGTTGCTAGAACGCAGTCGGATATTGTTGGTAAATTGGTTTAATATGAACATTGTCGTTGCGTCCATCGTTCGGTTGTTCGCCGACAACGAGATCCCGTTTCGTTTACGAAATACGGCCAGTAAATTAACTATTCCGTAAGCAAGGATCAAATTGGTACACACTGACCGCGATTGTGTTGGCACTTTGTAGTTTGAAGAAATATGATACTGTTTACGCGATCGCGTATCATCTCGGTGCATCGAGAGGCTGTTTCAAGAGTTCTTTATCGGTGTGTGTTTACAGCGGAAGAGAGACTGCGGAACTCGTAGTACGCGAAAGGGAGCGATTCCATGAATAAAAGAATACTATTCCGAGATTCCGTGCAATTCTTGTTAATGTACCAGACTAAATCGATTTTCCTATTTCCCGTGCGGCTAATTTCATAACAAAGCTTGTAAAAAGTAAACTGGGTCGCCCTCCTGTGTTTATTTCTAAACGAAAGCGAGGGACGTTTGTCGGGAACAAAAGATGGCGTTTATTGCACGCGTTCGATCGGGAGGTATACAATCCAGTCGATCCGCGATATCGAGGCTCGGATTGGAATGATACTGAAACGATATTCTAGCGCATTCCGAACACGATTTTACACGCGATTCGTTCTGTATCGAAGATAGAGTCAATAGCTCCTCGCCTGCCGATGCATATTATTTCCCAATCAATCGGCTGTTCACGTGGTCGGAAGCGTTTCAGAGTGTTTTTTGTTCGAACGAACAAAACTGCTCGACAATTCTCCGCAGCCAGCACGCGAGCGGGATCGAACGCGAGGGAAGGAAACGCGAGCGTCTGTTATCAGGAATACGCGTTCTGCTGGAAAATCATTTTGCAGAATAGCCCAATGATTTATCTCGAATGGCCGCCTGTGGCCTAACCGGCGTGAATTATTGGACAGTACGTACATATATATATATATGTATATACATACACGTATAGAAAGAGAGAGAGAGAGAGAGAGGATCGTTTAGACTTCCCCCGGTTGGAGTATAACTAGGTCTGATGATCGTGTGGGCCGCTGCATCTTATTCTATAATTCGACGATCATAAAGTTTCAACTGCGACGATCGCTGTACGGATGTTTAGGCGATCAGAGATTTCTAAGGGCGAATTAAAGGCGACCACTGTTGTCTCGACGATGTACATTGAATCAAGAGAGACGTCAATTGAACTCCGATCGATCCTGTATTCAAAGCTGATGCTAAATGCCCTGGACAAACGAACCGATTGTACAACGCTCTAGCAATTAATTAGGTACAATTTTCAAATACGAGCTGACCGAACGACAAACAATTATCCACGGAATGTTGTTCAACGCCGGCATTAAAGAGCAGAACGGATAGGAACAAGTCGCGCTTCCCTCGAAAAGGAAATAAACGCGCGGACCGATTAAACGAAGCAAACAACGAAGCCACGGATTTTTAGCGAGAAGCTGAAGTTCGCGTAGCGTTTCAGCGAGTCGGAACTCGCTCTCACGAAACTAATTTGATTGCAGCGGAGCTTTGCACGGGTTCGAGAAGTCGCGAAACTTTCTTGCCCTTGGGCACTCGAATTAGAAATGCCGGTAAACAGCAGAACTTTTCGATAAACCTGGACAACATCATTAATTTTCGTCGCGAGAAATCCAAGGATCGGCTCTCTGGATTTCGTCGTCGAATAAATTACGAATAAATTATGAATAATTAATGTTCGACGTCGGCGCTGAATGGAGCAGATAGAAACTACCGATAACGGTTTCCCAGTGGAAGCGTATAAAAGACCTAACGATCGTGCACGGACAATCATCGTGACGCGAAACGATATCGTGTCTCGAGTTTCACACACTAACATCTTCCGTTTCCATCGACCTTCGTGTAACGTTAGTGGATCCGTCAGAAAGCTTTTCGCCGATAAACGTCAACCTGACAGGCCATTATTGTGTATAGGGGTAACGCGTGCTAAAGGTCAGCCCGGTTATGATTCTATGAAAATTAATGGAACGTCTTAAGTGGGGCGCGAATGGACGGGAATGTCCATTAAGAAAGCTTTGGGTAACGCGTCGCTATACCGTGGATTTTGCATACTTGTAATACAAATAAGAATTTGGAATGCTATAATGTTAACGTTATTATGATAATTCGCGCGATACAAGAAGCAAGTATAAATAATGATGCGAGAGATAATTGTGTGGCGTTCTCAAGGAAATAGGTTAGTCAAAATGAAAATGTTCAAAGTGGTCACTCACGTATCAGAAAGGAGATGCTGAAGAAACCGGAGGCGGACCACTGTGCACCATGGTGGACACTGCATTTGATGAACAACGTTGCGTTTGGTTCACTCACTGGTCACTTTTCGGTTGACAGTCGCGGAAAATGAATAAAGAAACACGTTAAAAATGATATCGCGATGTTGTTCAGCGCAGCGATATCTATACACTGAACGTCCGAAGCCACGCGACTTACAGAACTACCCGCCAACCCGAATCGCCCCGACTCACCCCGACTCCGGACGAAGTTCCTCGAACGATGAACGAAGATGACCGAAGATCGTCGCAGCGAACGCGCACTTCTTGGTCGAACCTAAAATTTTTAAACAAATTAGAAACAAAGATGATATGCAAATGTTTAGGGCATTGGCATACTCCTGGTAATTATGGTTGGGTGGCATTGAGCTTTCTCTATGGCGTTCGAACCCTTAACAGGCAGATGATTAGTTTGATCGACCGAACAGGCTTTTCTAGAGGCAGATGCTTTGTCACAGATAAAATATACAGCAAGGATAAGAAGATAGATTTTACTAAACTAGAAGCTAAGAATCTAGATTCTATTTAACGTTGAACCACGACTGCTTTGATTCTCTATCGAAATATATCCTTTGAAAGTGAATAGACACGCGTTTCGGAACTTTCGGACGTTCGTCGAACGTTTCTAATGCAACGGCGGGCTTCTAATTTTATCGATACTCTAAGAAAAAAAGAATTGGCTGTTTAACGATGGAGAAATGGCTCACCCCATTTGTTAGCAGAACGAAGAATGTCGGAGAAACGATGTAGTCGGTGTACGATTCGAAAGGATCGAGTTATCACTGGTAATTAGCCGACGAGCGCAAGATCCAAACACTACGAGCCGCAACGCACACCGGGAATGGCGAAAATGGTGGGAATTTCGCGAGACATTTGAAATTAGAACAGATGGCGACAGGGAGCCCGCGGTTCTGAGTCCGTAGTGAAAAATGGCCGGCGCCAACGATTGTTTCAGCATTGGGAGTACGGTGGCCTGTAAAACTTGTTACAAGGAGGAGATCGAAGGCGAGGTGTTGGCATTCGATCCACAAACTAAAATGTTGATACTGAGTATCCTTTTCATATAAATTCCCCGGAAATTCTTACCGTAACCGACGTGTACATGCATCCAGCGTTCATCCGTCGCTCGTTTAACATTGCCACAGTGTAAATAATTTTCCCTGTAGCCCGCGACAGATTTCGTGATCTTTAATTGACGACAATTACGTTCCGTTTCGCGATTTTTCACGGACAACCTGCGGTACCGCTTGTCAATTATTTGCTTATTTCCTAACCAGCTACGCGAAGTCAGGTTAGTTTCGTCATTCAATCAACCATGCTGGAATTTCCATTGGTTTTGTTTCTCGGTTGTATACGTTCTCGAATGCATTTCCACATTCCCGATAGTTACTTTCACCTTTCTCATCCGTGAAAATCGCGAACGAAGCGTTTCCGGCCCGAAAAGACGAGATTTGTTAGCTCGATTATAACCTCAGAGTCAACTGTGATAGGAGACTCATTCTGACAGAAATAATTTCTGTCTAATGAAAATATGCCGATCTTTCCGCGTTGAACGTATTCTATGATTCCTTAACCAACAATAATCAGAATGTCCTTCTTCGAGTGGAGCACCTACTTTAAATGACGTACACATAGTAAATTTATCCTTGGTATCTGAGGTCCAAGTAAAACGGGAAGTTAGCCCCACAACTAGTGAACCACCACAAAGCCTTAATTTGCAAAAGTTAAACAGAAGAGTGCGTAATCAAATTGAAGAGAAAAAGAAACTGGTAATGGCTCTGCAGGCCGGAGTATCTCCAGAAGGACAAAAACTCTTCAATACTATATCAAAGACAATTCCCGAAATTACATGGAACGGAACGAATATTGTTGTATTCGACAATGTCACAATTAAACCCCCGTACAAAGTTGACAATGTGCATGGTAATACAGAATCTGGAGCATACAAACATGTAAAAAAAGTGGTAAGTGTGAAGGACAGAGAAGCAGGAAGGGAGAGTAATATATCTATGTTATTGTAATGCCTGTAACTATGTTAGGTTGAAAAACATATTAAAGATACAGAAGCATCGGCACAAGCACAACAGAGGGAACAGCAACAACAGCAAAAGCAAAAAGGAGGTGCTATGCAATAAAGGTTCGGAAAAGGCACTATACTACAAATAAAGCTACCAATGCTTTCACAGAAGTTCCAGTGTTGGAGAAAAGTAGGAAAGAATGAAACCAGATAAAAAAGAAGAAACCATTGCAGAACTACTAGATAAGCCTATCATGAAAACCAGCATTATAGAGAAAATTCAATTTGTTTTATTAACCAAGTATTTTGGGACGACCAAAGTGCAAATCGAGTATTCAAATTCCAAATACGTTTCAAATACATTAATTGTATTGTATGTGCAGCATTTTGTAAAGCAATGGATCTACATCATACTCAAATTTTAGTATAGAGCTCGCTCTTCGATGAAGAGTGTTGTTTATTTTATCTAACGAGCTGCCATACATCTTACGTACTGCTGGAACTATTGTTCATACATGTGCTCTGATGCAGGTGTGTTTTAGTTTAGTTTTACATTGTTACAAAATACGTTTAGTAGTTGTTTACAGATCATTGACATACATGGTGGTAGCAAGACACATTTGCCATACAAGTACCAATTTTTTAATATCGGAAATCGATCCACGTGATATGATTTAAATCCGTATGAAACGGTTCAACAATTTTTAAACCAACCTCGTAATACGACATGTAAAACGATCAACAAAAATCTTCACATACGACTCATTCGATTTTGTAACCGACTGGCATCTTAGTTCATTCATTAATTGAAATTCATTTGTCTCAAGTCGCTCACTGTGGTACTATCGATCTCTCAAAATTTGTAAACAAAGAACAAAAACGGAATCGTTACACTTGATCACGCCTGCGTCGGCACGAGACGTCTTCGGTCGCGACGCATCATTGTAAAATGAAGAATATTCCCTTGCATAGAACGAGCTAAAGAATTGTTATTTAAGGAAACAACAACTTGATCTGTGCAAGGGCAACTGCCGTCTAGCTTGCACTTAGGAGTAACTTCATTTGCAATAACTACGGAATTCGTCTCGTGCCCTTTACTTTTTGAACGCGGAGAAATTGTAAAACAGAAAGAAAAGAAAGATTATAAAATTAATTACATGAAAAGACACAAATAAATGTAATATAAATTCTAAGCTTTTGTTTCCTAAGTATTTATTGCTTCTCCACTATACCATCGAATCTTTACTAGAAAAACGGTGCAACTCTCATTCGGTATTCTCGTCTAATTCCTCAATTGTCTCGGTAATGTTTGCACCTCGCACAATTGAACTTAAATCGTGAGTTACCCGTGCAATTCGAGCAGCAGCTTTGAATTTAATTGCTGCTCGTTGTTTCTCCGTTTTCTTTTTCCACTAAAAAGGATAGTTCATTTATTATTCAATGTGTCTCCTATGAAAAATAAAACGGAGTGAACGTGTTGGATTGCTTCTTATCTTAAACGACAGATGGAAAACCAGATAGTTTACTGACCTAAGGAGAAATTTCTGCATTGAACCCAATGTTAATTGTTAAAAATTTGAACGTGAAATACAACTAGAAATAACCTATTGGAACTGGATATATCTAGTGAAAGAATGGAAGAAAATTCCGTATAATTTCAAGTTGGTAATAGTGTTACCCGAAGTCCCTAAGTTTGATGCTTCACACTCTATCAGAGTGAGAGAGTAAGAGTGAAAGAAAATCGTGGTTGAGTGTTTTGGAAGAACGTTTTATGTTTGTTACTTCGTCTCCGAATTATATGAATAGTTTTATATTTTTAGTAAACAAACGAAGCAAGGTAATTGTCGTAATTTTTGTGGAAAATTTAGTACACTTTAAAAGCTGTTCTACCATCAAATATTTTCTATAGGAAAAATTGCGTTCTATTTCGTGTTTGAGCGGGATGTTGTGATCACTAAAATTTTCACAAAAACAATTGGAAACAAGTGTTGTACAGTGTTTTTAGTACCTTGAAATCGAATATTTTAAATCAGTTTCCGTTCCAAGGTTTGATAATCATTTAAAATTGTTTTAACCCAACAATGCGGCAAGTGTTTATCCTAACCTATTTTGCTAGTTGACAAATCTAAGAACAGATCAGATACACCAGAAATTCAATTTTAATTGCGATATTATTCTCAAAGATTGACTACAAAGTTCGTCCGAAGTAAAATAAATAAAAAAGGAAGGTCAAAACTGGTTTTCTATGTATAGGTGTTGGAATGTTTTGAAAAATGTATATTGTGTAACGTTAGTAGTTAATTACTTACATCTTCATCACGAGATGGTAAGTTTGATACATATTCTTTCATTTCTTCCTTTTTGGGATCCATTATAGCTAGCACTGATACACATCCATCAACTGTACCTAAGACTATACTCTTACCATCATAAGTACTGTCGATTGCACTTAACTCTGCTTGAACTCTATAATTTGCTATCATCTCACAATCCGATGATCTAAAAGTCATATATATGAATAGAATTTAATCATTTTGTGAAAAATAATATGATATTTGTTTACCTAAATACACGGATAGTTTTTCTTCCGCTATGATAATATAAAACATATTCATCTGTGCGGTTGAACATGGATATTACAGTGAACACTCCCTCTGCTACTTTGGGAATATAAGTTTTAACACTAGTACCTTTCTTTAACTCAAGAAGTTCCAATCCGCCTCTAACAAACAAAAATATTCCAGTTTCATTTTATAACGTATTTCAAGAAATTTATATTACCTGCTAGGTGCATATAAAGTATATTTTCCATCCTTGCTAATATTTCCACTCCATTTTGGAATAGTACGAATAAATTTCTTCTTATTTATATCCAGAATGGTGCCTTTATCTGTTCCAATTATGCCTACCCATTGTGGTTTATTAGGCATGGGAGTTATGCCCACAATATCCTATTAAAATATGTACACTTTAATAATATATCTACATAGTGCACAATAATTTTCTTACTTTAAATCCAGGTAATTTAATAGGGATTTTATTTATCAGTACACCCGTTTTTGCATTGTAAATCATAATACAATCTCTGCTGCCTTTATCAGCTGCTGGTGCAATCAGAAATGCATTATCAGATGTTATCACAACATTTCTGAAAGGTGTACCTGTTTGACTTCTAACTGTATATTGAAATGAAAATGTTGTTTTCCCATCTGTTCAATGGTATGAAAAATTATTATTTGTATGAATAACTATTTAATGGCTTTCAGTTCTCATAAATTATCAATATACCAGGGATTGTTCTCATAAATAGTGTTGCAATAGCCTTCATACTTTCTACTCCAGCTGGGTTCTTAGGCCTGGAGATTGCTATAAACTTGGTGGAATTTTCAATTAATGTTAGTTGTTTCACATGTTGCTGCTCTTCTTTGAACAACACTTGCTCGGTAATTCTATTCCAAATTAATACATTGCCCGACTCTGTTGAAACAACATATCTAGAATGGAAGACATACGTTAGATGTACATTACTGTGCAATCGTAATACATTTAGTTACTCAAATATTACTGACTTGCCATCGTGTGTCATACAAGCATGTGTAACAATAGCCCCTAAAGGGCTGTCGGCTAACTTTGAAATCAACTTTCCAGTTTGCAAGTCCCAGATTCCCACACAGTCTCTAGTAACTATTGCAGCCAAGTTACACTCTTCTGCTAAACTGTGTGATCAAAGAAACGTTTCCATAAGAATGGAGTAGTTATGGAAAATTAAGATTTCAGCTAAGCACCTTATCATATCAACTTGTAGCTCGTGTCTATCTATCACATGAACTTGTTCGAAAATGTTGTTTATATTCCATACTTTAACACTTCTGTCTATGCTCGACGTGACCACACAATTCCAATTGCCAACTGTTAGCGCTTCCAGTTGAATAATCCTGGCAAAGTGGGCATCCAGTATCTTCACTAACTCCGACGTCTCCAAGCTCCAAACGTACAAGTTTTTCCTACAATCGAAATGTACTGTAGTCAATTCCATTCTTTCCAAGATAATCATATCAGTTCATCCTAAAACGTACCTGACACCGGCAACAGCATAATTCTTGGTACTACTGACCATTATCGAATTGGAGCACATCATTCGCGTGCTGATGTTCCGCACTCCGTTTGGTAACATCAAAACGTACGCGTCGCTCTTATTCTCCAAGAACCAAACGACGAAACCATTGGCACTGGTAGCCAAAAGAATTTCCTCCTCTCTGTCTAATTTCAATTGCAACAAGTACTCGACGTCGTCGTTGTAAGCTCTAGGCATGTCGAAGACCTTTTCCCATTGCGAGGACGTTTCGTCGCAAGTATACTTGGTCACTCGGTTATCAGTGTTAACCGTGCAAGCATAGAGAACCTTTTTATCATTAGTCATCGCCAGGACACTGCAAGGACACGCGTCGATGAAAGTCTAATTACATCAGCGAAATCAATATTAAAAGGACAATATTCGCATTCTACCTATGCAAACTCAAAGGTTCCAAAGATCCTTTTTTTCTATAAGTGTGCAACATCATGGAGGTATCTTCGATATTCCCAGACCAGAATACAATTCTGTATTCGTCTAAAGTCGAATGATCCACATCTGCGGCAAAAATATGCATTTCCGACGTCTACGTTAGATATTACGCTAATAGAAAACCCCGTCCCACTCACGCAAGATTGGCCATTTATTGGAATCCTCGGGGTTCGTGTGGGTCTCTAGTAAATTCCCTCTAAGATCGAATCTGCACCAGCCCAGCTTCCCGTAGACGAAAAAGTACTGATTCATCAAATGAACCCCGCACACTGGATCCTCGTTTGGCAGAGGATTATCGATAGTAACGAATTCGCTGGTTAAAGTGTTCAACACGACACTCTTAAACGTTTCAAAACAGACACGTTACTTTGTTTAACTACAGTATTAATACCGGAAATGAGAAGATTCTTATAAACCTGATTGTTAGTTGTAAACGCAGCCGCGTATCTGTTGTCGGGACTCAGAACCAGATTCTGCATGATTCCTTCGACACCGGGATTAACGTCTCTGGTCATGTCGCTGGTGCTCAGGTCCCAGGTGATAAACCTGTTGGATATCGAGACCACGTGTCGGTAGTCGGAAGTCAGACAAAAGCCGAACACGGCGAACTGATGACCCTCCAGCGAGTACTGAAATCATTCAAAAATTAGCGTCGTTTCGTCGGAGGGACCTTTTGTCCGAGTTACTTTCAAAGGTCCCCCAGGTGTGTGCAGACAATGATAGACAGGTAGCAGGGCGCAGTTCTTCGCGCCGTCGTTATCGCAAGCTCTGAGCAGCATCTTCACGTTGACGTTGCCCCCTATTTCTGGCAACAATCGACCGATTAATTGAGGCGCGAGCATGTCCGGGTGAGAGCCCAGAATCGCACCCCCTAATCTGAGCGCGTCGGCGACCAGCATCAGCTCTCTGGGAACAAGTTTGACGAGCCATCGAAAGTGAAAGACCTTCTCGGAAGTGTGGGAATTACCTGACGATGTTCTGATTCTCGATAAAGGTGCACGCGTCCTCGAAGTCCGATAGTACGGCTTGCAACGGGCAAGAACTAAGCTTCGCGTGCAGCCATTCGTAATTGAATAAGACGTTCTCGAAGAGATCGTTGAATCGCCGCGATCTGACCAGGTGAAACGGCAGCTCGCCGAACTGAAAACGGGAAGCCGACGAATGAGTCGAGTATAGTACGCGAACATTCTCGTTTACCTTTCTGAGGTTGTATCTGGTGATCGTTCCTTCCTTCGAGTAGAACGCCAGCGGTTGTTCCGGCACTTTTCTGTCCGCGATGCCTTCTTTGTCCGCTAGGTTGAATCTAGGCGAGATTTCATTTCTAGTAATCTGCGGAGACGTATAGGGAAAAGCGTATCGCTCACCGGTGTCTTTGGATCTCGGTGTATTTGAACGGCTTCGGACGTCCTCCTCCCCAGATGCCAAGGTAGTAATCGGCGATCATCGAATGGAAGTACATCGCCATGTTCATGTTCTTGAAGTACCTTTCCTTCGCAGCGTCTCTGAACTGTCTGTGGTACCAGTTCAGGACACTTACGCCGTCGGCTTCCCTTTCGCTCAAGTAGTTAGGCAAATCGTTCCTTATCCTGGTCCAGAGCAGGGGCGGGATTCGCCGGACAGGGGGTAGATGGTACTGATAGACATCGTCTAGCACTTTGTCGTCTAACGAGATCAGGTCTTCCAATTCCGACTCCGATAAACCCGATTTCGCCGCGGTGATGTAGGCCAACGCGTGGAACACCAGAATCTTTCCATGCTGCTTCTCTATTCTTTCGAACAGCATCATGATACTGTCCATCACGGTGCTGGTCAAGTGAGTATCGGCTGGTTTCGTGTAGCTCCTCCATCGGCAAATCTCCGCGAAGACCAGTTTCACAAAAATGGGCAGGGAACATTTGGATATCGCGTTCGCCACCAGACGCCACTGGTAATTGTTTAGATCCCTGTGCGCCGTTTTCATCCACATCCTACGAATATACTCTTCCGTAGAAGCATCACCGGGTAATTTGCATTCGTTCGTCTACCTTATCACATCCATCGCTAAATCCTCCCCTAAGGCCACCACTTCGATGAAGTTCTCCTCCGTGTCTATCATTCTGCGTAGCAGCTGATAATCCCGAGAGATCACTGGGTTCGATTCTTCAGCGGCGCAAGACAGCATCATCTGAAAGACCATCGAATGCTGCATCGTAGATTTGAAACCGTGAATCGAGTACCTTGCAGTTGCTCGGAAGTCTGGTCGGTAGCCAGGATAATTTATTCCCTTGCACTCCAGTCAGCTGGTCGACGCTGTCCAGAAACAAGAGAATCGGTTGCTCTTTCGTGGCCAGAGTTAGTAAATATTTAAAGTAGGCGGTCAGCGGCACCAGGTCGTCCGGGATTTCATCAAAGGGTAGCATGAAGTTGTAGGAGATCTGTGCCAGACAACACAGAGACGTTACGTCGCGGCGAAGCAATTTACTTCGTTTCATTAACTTGCCTGTTGACAAATAGAGATCAATGTAGGCGTCAGGGCACTGCTATCCGGGGTAGTGCCAAGAAATCGGATTATGTTGATTGGCTTTTTCCCGGTGAGCCACGCGCTGCTCGTCAACCCGGCGCTCTTTGCTAACAGAGACGTCTTGCCGCATCCGCCTTCGCCGTATAAAACCAGGGGCTTGTCGCTGTCCCCTAACATGTACTCTTTGATCCTTTCCAAAGTGTCTTCCCGTCCGTAGAAGACCTGGATATTTCACGTCGCATTGCAATCGTATCGATTGTGACCTGCGGTTGCAAACGAGCGAAACATACCTTCACGGAATTGTTGCAAGCGTGCAAATGCTGCAGAATTTCCGTTATGATCTGTCCCTGCGCGGAACTGTCCTCTTTCCTCATTGCACGGTCCACGAGTTTCACTATGTTTCGGTAAAAGTGAGTTATGAAGTGCTGGAGATACTCGCTGTGGGTTTCCGGGTCTAAACCTTCTCGTCCGATCCATTCCACGGTGTAGCTGGACGAACGTAATTCGCGAAAAGTTATCCAGAACTTGAAATTGAACTTTCTCCTGTTTGCAGTGTAGACGTACCTTTGGTGATTCGTTGTCTCGATTTTCTCCGGAAGTCTTTCGTCCCTCAGGTTCGCCAGCAACTTGGCGGCTTCGTTGTCTAAACTTCTGTTCGCTATGTCCAGGAAGAGACTGGCTTTTCTTAAGTTCTGTAGATTGATATTGTTTATGTACCTGACATAGGCGAGGCAATGGTTTTTCGTGTTCTTAACGTTCAGGATACCATTGATCACTTCTCGTTCGGTCACTGTGTGGACATGATAATTCGTTGAATTATCCGTGAGGTTTTCTGAATTACTCGAATTGCCTTACCAGACATGAAATAATTGTGCATCGTGTCTTTGTCGAATTTCCCCGAATTGAAAAGAGATTGCGCGCCTTTCCTGAACAGTTTCTGCATTTTCACCATGGTGTCCCACCAGATTGCCTGGTCCTCTTGCTGCAGCTTGGGTATCCTCTAAATTATAGAAAACTTTAGTGGCCGAGTAGTTCATGGTATCGAAGCAAAGAGACGAAAGACCGGTACTTTATTGTTGAAGTTCTTCAAGATGGACGATATCGGTTGCAGGATGCTTGTCGGTGGCACCGCGTTACTGTCTTTTTTGTACCATCTGTCCAGGAGACTAACGTCCATTCCCTGACTCTCCAATTCCGTTCGCAACATTTCCAATTCAGAACTGAGCACGTATGTCGGAATGGGGCGGTAACCATACTTTTGCCCGAGGAAAACCTTCGAAAAGAGGCAAGATGGAATATAATTTGCATGAATCGGTGTTCAAGATTTTCTAATCGCATGCCGAGTTAATCGTGTCGTTCGTTACCACGAAATTCGGACCCATGGAAAGTCTCTGGCAATTTTCTATTTCCCTCATGCAAAGTTCCGTCGTCATATGATCGTCGGTTGCTTCATCCCTCACGCCCCATCTCATATCTACCACCTGCAGTTACGGATACTATCGTTAATTGTTTCCATTCCGCGCGAAATCAGTAATTTAATTTGAAAGCGACACGTGACGTGTCAGGCTTGAACTTTAGTATTCAAAGTTCGGGGAACTTCTCCTGTACAGGACCTGGTACCTGGCACGATGGAAATCAATTCTTCAAGGTCGCCCGAACGTGCTCGCACGATACAGATTTTGGCAATCTTTACGCGCAATATCTTTCAAACGTATAGAACAAATCGATACATCGAGATGACTGTAAGTCTATTGTTATGCTCGTCAGTTGACTGTCGTATTCGATTTTATTTGACACTGTGGTTTAGTTACTGTCTAATATTACCTGAAACTCTAATCCATGTTTCTCCCTACAGTAGTCCTTAAGTTTAGGGTAGCATTGGGCCATCAGCGTGTTACGTTCCATCGCGGTATCTAAATAAAAATACTCGTTACTTCGTATTGGCGGTATAATTTCTACGAGTAATTAATAAATGTACCGGTGAAGGTGGAGCTAGTAAATATCCTGACGATTTTTGAGCTGACGGCGGGAAGGGACTTCAAAGACCCCGCGAAGATCGAGTCAACGGTTGCTTCATCCATTTTTCACCGTCTAATTGTTGTTACTCGTTCACAAATTATTCTCTGTCGCATCAGGTTACCAGCAACATTGCAAGGGTACTGAGATCGTGCCCAGAATTTCGCGAGCCTTTATACCGTGTGGATATATATTCACACTTCGCTACCATCTCCACTTTAGGGACAGGACGCCGTCAGCGAGCTATAACGTATCTTCGTCGTTTAGGGATCGCTATAGAGAATACTTATTATCGTTGCCTGAAATCCAATAAAATTGCAATAAAAAGTACAAAGAATCTTGGAACTCGGGTAAATGCTCGGAGATACGATAAAGGGTGGTTGCTAGGGGTTGTTTACATAATCTAAAGCGTATCTCATTGATTTCGCGGGAGCTATGTATCTTGCATCGGGTCCGTGGAACAGTGATGACGACGTATGTTTGATTGCTTGCAGTTTTTCTAATGGACCAGACCAGTAGCGTAAAGAAAAAGCTTTGATTGAACAATCAAAATGGCACCACCGGATCCCGTGACGCAAATGAACACGTACCGGTCGTACGTGACCATGTTGGCCGATCCGGTTTCAAAGGACGAGTTGAAACTGAAGGCCGCCCAAGAATTGTCGGAGAATTTCGAGGTATCCTCTAATAGTCGACGAACGTAATGCATTCTCGACGGAGCGATAGACTGAACCGCGATTGCTTCGTTCTGCAGGTGATCATGTGCTCCTCGCAATATCCAGCATTTCTCGATCACATGATGAAGATATTTTTGAAGATCTTACAAGAGGGCGAACCGCACTTCATATCGGAATACAACATACAGCAAGTGAGGAAATTGATTCTGGAGATGATACACAGACTGCCCAGCAACGACTATCTTCGGCCGCACGTGAAACAGATATTAAGCTTGATGTCGAAGCTGCTCGAAACTGACAACGAGGAGAACGTGCTGGTCTGTTTGAGGATCATCATCGAGCTGCACAAACAGTACAAACCGTCTTTCAACGCGGAGGTGAGAATTACGTGACCATGGATCGCTTCCTCTTGAATCCTAATGGTATTTCATCTACTTTTCTGTGTCTCTTGCAGATACAATATTTCCTGCAATTTGTAAAATCAGTGTACAGTGAGTTACCACAGAATCTACCAAAAATATTCGAGCCTCGTCCACCGTTGAGGGTGAAGGATTTGTCGGAGATAAACATAGACGCGTTACTGAAAGAAACGTTCACTATCACAGCTATACAGAGCGAGAAGAAAGCAGCAGATGGCACAGTAGTTACAGTAAGTAATTCTCGCGTAGCATTCGAGATACGATACGGTTGGTTAAAGAGCAAATTTTCATTGAGAAAGAAAACCATTTTTTTTTTCCAGTACAATCTCATTCCTAAGGCAGTATTATCCCTGAAAGTGCTCCAGGAGCTACCGATCATCGTCGTGCTAATGAACCAATTGTACAAGCAGAACGTGCACGAGGACGTCTCAGACTTCATCCCTCTGGTGATAACGACGATCACTCTGCAGCCGAGTCCTCAACACAGAGCGTCGCCTGGCTTCAACAAAGAAGTGTTCGTCGACTTCATGGGAGCTCAGATCAAGACCCTGTCCTTTTTAGCGTACGTGATTCGGATCTATCAAGAGGTGGTGTCCCAGCATAGTTCCATATTGGTGAAGGGTATCCTGGGATTGTTCACTCTGTGCCCCATGGAAGTGGCGCACCTGCGAAAGGAATTAGTGATAGCGTCGAGACACATATTGGCTACTGATCTGCGGAACAAATTCATACCGCACATGGAGTGCTTCTTCGACGAGGACATATTCATAGGTAGGGGTTGGACGACTCACGAATCGCTGAGACCGTTAGCGTACTCGACTCTCGCGGACTTGGTCCATCACGTCAGATTAATGTTACCATTGAGCGACGTGTCTAGAGCCGTGCACCTGTACAGCAAGAATTTGCTCGATCAGAGTCTTCCGACGGCGGTGCAGATGGTTTCTTGTAAACTCCTGATGAACCTGGTGGACACAGTGCGACAGAGGTCCGACGCGGAGAACAGCACTCAGGGCAGAGAGCTGCTGATGAGGATTCTCTTGGTATTTGTCTTGAAATTCAAGACGATCGCGAAGATATACATACCGATTCTGCGCAATAAGGCGAAGCAATTGACTCCGCCTGGCGTGGACGTTAAAACGGAGGATGTCAAGCCGGTCATTCCTGATCTGAACGAGGAGAAGGAGACCGGGAAGTCAAAGTTCGGTTTCCCTTCCTCCCAGGCGATGAGCTTCAACGTGGCGGATTACAGGAACCTGGTGAAGAGTTTAGTGCACGGCGCTAAAGCTATCACTTCGAATTGCATCAATTCCAAGACCGGAGAAGTGACACAGTCTAATCAGTTTCAATCGAAGGAGACGCTGGTTTACATCAAGCTAGTGAAATGGGCGCTGCCGGCGTTGGATATCTACACGATCGGTCCCCCCACCATTGGAGCCATCGCTCAGCCAGGAAGACCAGCCCAGTCTCAAACGATTCGTACCAGGGAGGAGAAGGAGGTCCTTGAACTATTCGGGAACGTGTTCACTCAGATGAACCCTCAGACATTCCAAGAAATTTTCTCGACGTCCATCGACTACATGGTCGAGAGGATTTTTAAGAATTGCGCGCTGCAGATCATCGGCAGCGCGTTCCTGTCTAGTCCGACTATATCGTCGACGTTTGCAACGATACTGGTTGAATACCTGCTGGAGCGAATGGGTGATATGGGATCGAACGTAGAAAGAAGCAATTTGTATTTGAGGCTGTTTAAATTGGTATTCGGCAGTGTGTCCCTATTTCCCGCAGAGAACGAGCACATGTTGAGGCCACACTTGAATCAAATAGTGAATCGAGCGATAGAATTAGCCATGTCCGCGAAAGAACCGTACAACTATTTCCTCCTGCTACGCGCTTTGTTCAGATCCATCGGAGGCGGTTCTCATGACCTTTTGTATCAAGAATTCCTACCTCTGCTTCCGAACATGTTGGAGGGCCTGAATAGACTGCAGTCCGGTCTGCACAGGCAGCATATGAAGGACCTGTTCGTCGAATTGTGCCTTACTGTCCCAGTGAGGCTTAGCTCTCTTCTGCCTTATTTGCCGATGCTGATGGACCCTCTCGTGTCAGCCTTGAACGGCAGCTACTGCTTGGTCAGCCAAGGACTGAGAACCCTCGAACTCTGCGTGGACAACCTTCAACCCGATTTCCTTTACGAACACATACAACCGGTACGAGCCGATCTGATGCAGGCATTGTGGAGGACTTTGCATAATCCGACAGACCAGGCTCACGTGGCTTTCCGGGTTCTGGGTAAATTCGGCGGTGGCAACAGAAAGATGATGATCGAACCCCAGAAGCTGGAGTACAACGATCGCGAGACCAATTCACCTGCCATCGTCGTCTACTTCCAGGAGCCCACTAAACCCATCGATTTCACGGTAGAGAAGGTCATCGAGACCGCATTCAACGCGTTGAAATCGAACAACACCGATTCGTTTTATCGTAGACAATGCTGGGAAGTGATCAGTTGCTACCTGGCAGCTTCTTTGCGACTGGACGACAACAATGCTATACTTTACAAACTCTTCATGCATCCTGGTTTCAAGGAAGCTAAAATCCCTCATCAGCAGGGTCCTCATTACAAGTGTCCAGACGCCGTCGCGAGGAACGTTCAGCAGACGGCGTTGACGGGTCTGTTCGTCGCCGCTGAGATCAAAGAATTGAGGCACTCGGTATTAGGAACCGTTGTGTCAATCGTGAGGCACTACACGATGGTCGCGATTGCCCAGCAAGCTGGACCCTTCTGTTTGACCGGAAGACAAGTTCGTATGCAAGGCCAGGATCCCTTAGTCCTGATCGACGCTCTGGCGGTCATCATGGGCCACGAGGAAAAGGAGTTGTACAAGTCTGGTCATTTAGCTCTGGTCTTGATCCTCGAAACCGCGACGAATATCCTGGGCTCGAAGGAGCGAGCCTGCCAACTGCCATTAATGGAATACTTGGCGGAGAAGATGTGCTCTCTTTGTTACGAGCGAGCTTGGTACGCAAAGTTGGGCGGCTGCATAGCCATCAAGTTTCTGTTCGAGAGGATGGCGACCAAATGGGTACTGAATCATCTGTTCGTGTTCCTAAAGGCTCTAATGTTCGTGATGATGGACTTGACGGAGGAAGTATCGAACGGAGCCATAGATATGGCCAAAGCGAATTTAGAAAAGATGCTGCGAGTCTGCGTGAATCCCGGAATACAAGACGGGAACACCGAGCTGATAGAGGCGCAGAACAAAAGCTTGTACGAAGTCACTCACGAGCTGGTCAGGCAAGTCACGTCTCCTCATAGTTTGGTGCGGGAACAGGCTATGGCTTCCTTGAGACTGCTCGCAGAGATACAGAATAAAACTGTTACCGAGGTAATGGAGCCTCACAAGGAAGTTCTGGCGGACATGATCCCGCCTAAGAAGCATTTGCTCAGACATCAACCCGCCAATGCTCAGATCGGTCTCATGGATGGCAACACTTTCTGCACTACGCTGAATCCCAGACTCTTCACCATCGATCTGACGGTGATGGAGCACAAGGTGTTCTTTCAAGAATTGCTGGCTCTCAGCGAGGCAGAGGACGCGAGCTTGAACAAGCTGCCTTGTTACAAGTCCGTTTCGAATCTTATTCCGCTGAGAAAGTCAGCGTTGAGGGCTCTGGCTGCTTGTCATTACATAGTGTCGTGCAGGGAAAAGATCTTCGGTGTGTTGTACAAAGCTCTGGAGAAACCGAACGCTGAACTGCAGGAAGCAGCCTTCGAATGCATGCAGAAATTCATCGCTGGCTTTCAAATCGACATGGAGGCTGTCCACGCCATTATGCGACCGATGCTGTTGACTCTAGGCGACCACAGAAACCTGAGTCTGAACTGCGTGAAAAGACTCTCGTACCTGACTCAACTGTTTCCCAGCACTTTCAGTATTACACTCTGCGAGCAGTTGCTGCAGCACTTGAAGAAGCTTTTGGAGAATTTGATACAGGCTCACAAAGGCATATCGAAGTCCGGAGAGAACGAACAGAAGATTGCGACTATTATAGGGATCTTCCACGAGATCCCTGCAGCTACTCCGAAGTTCATCGATGTGCTTTGCAGGCTTGTTTTGCAAACGGAAAAGTCGCTGATGGTCGAAGTGTCCAGCCCATTCCGAATTCCTCTGATGAAGTTCTTGCTGCGCTACCCGACGGAGACTCTGAATTTATTCCTACACGACAATAACATCAAGGACCGACAATGGAGCAAGTACCTAGAGTTCCTGATCAAGCAGAAAGACGGGAAGCCATTCCGCGACGTGTTGCACAACAGCACAGCGAGGTTGATCACGATGCTGCTCGCGCACTCTCAGACCAACTCGAACCTGACCCACGTCGAGAAGAGCGAGCTTCAACATCAGGCGATCAAGATCATCGCCGTGCTGATTAAATTCGACGAACAGTGGCTGTCGACGCAGACTCAGCTGGTAGGCGCGTTGAAGCAGATCTGGTGCAACGACGAGTACCAAGCGTTGCACAAGAAAGTCGAGAGCGTGGACTATTGTCATTGGAAGGAGCCGAAGCTCATAGTCAAGATTCTGTTGCACTACTTCCGTCACCATTCGAACGACATCGATCTACTTTTCCAGCTGTTGAGGGCGACCTGCGACAGGTTCATCCCGGATTTCCAATTCCTGAGGGACTTTTTGGAGCACACTGTAGCTCAGGAGTTCACGGTGGAGTGGAAACGCAGCGCGTTCTTTAGATTTGTCGACCACTTCCCCACGAACAACCTGTCTCAAGAATTGAAGGCGAATGTTCTGCAATTGATCATCATTCCCTGTTTCGCGGTGAGCTTCGAGAGAGGAGAGGGCACCAAACTGGTCGGAGGTGCGCCGATGCCTTATCAAGATAACCCAGAGAACGTCGTGTCCGTTTTCATCAGTAAGATCATCGATCCCGACAATCCGTTCGGATCGGCCGACTGCGTTCGCATCTCTCTACTCCAGTTCTCGTGCCTCCTGGTGGAGCAGGCCTCGCAGCACATTCACGACGTGACCAACAAGAGGCAAGGCAACAAGCTGCGAAGATTGATGACGTTCGCCTGGCCATGTCTGCTCGGCAAGAACTGCGTCGACCCGACGACGAGATATCACGGCCATTTGCTTCTGAGTCACATCATCGCGAAGTTCGCCATCCACAAGAGGATCGTTCTGCAAGTTTTCCACAGTTTGCTGAAGGCGCACGCTCTGGACGCTAGGAACGTGGTGAGGCAGGCATTGGAGATCCTGACTCCGGCCATGCCGGTCAGAATGGAGGACGGCAACACGATGCTCACGCACTGGACCAAGAAGATCATCGTCGAGGAAGGACATTCGATGCAGCAGCTGTTCCATATTCTCCAACTGGTGGTCAGACACTACAAAGTCTATTACCCCGTGAGGCATCATTTGGTGCAGCATATCGTGAATTCTATTCAGAGGCTGGGATTCAGTCCTACCGCTACGATCGAGCACAGGAGGTTGGCGGTCGAGTTGGCGGAGGTGATCATAAAGTGGGAGCTTCACAGGATCAAGGACGAAGCGGAGAGCGCCGAATCCGGTGGCACCAGAGGAGCTCAGGGATCAGTGAAGAGACCTATAAACGATGATCCTGCGGGGACCAAGCGAATGACTGCTCAAGGCGCCACGGGCAACGCCACGGTGCCTGTGATTCTACCTAGGATCGAACCAGGATCCACGAAACCGATCGAGAGGGCTCACGCTGACGCGATCCTCAACTTCTTGCTTCGTTTGGCTTGCCAAGTGAACGACGTGACTACAATCCACGGGAATCCGGGCGAACAGCTCTCCAGACGTTGCGTGGCTTTGCTGAAAATGGCTCTGAAACCCGACGTCTGGCCTCAGAGCTGCGACCTGAAGCTGGCTTGGCTGGACAAAGTTCTGGCCAGCGTGGACAGTGCTCAGCCAATCTATGGGAACATCTGCACAGCCCTGGAGGTCTTGACGTTCTTGCTGGGCGTGATGAAGAGGGAGCAGATACTCGCGAGCTTCAAGTCCCTGCAACGAGGCATCGGCGCCTGCATCGCGAGCAGCAATACCAAAGTCATCAGACTGGTGCATGGGTTACTGTCAAGATTGATGACTATTTTCCCCGCAGAACCGACTTCCTCCACCGTCGCGTCAAAGTACGAAGAGCTGGACACTCTGTACACCACCGTTGGTAAATTTATAGTGGATGGTTTGGCGACGTACGAAAAGAACACCGCGGCTACCCCCAGCACGCTGTTCGGCACCCTGATGATGCTGAAGGCGGCCTGCACGAATAATCAGAGCTACATCGATCGACTGATCACCCCGTTCATGAGGGTTCTTCATCGAATGGCCAAGGATCATCTGCATTCGACTCAGGCAGAGGCGAATCCTGTCGGCAGCGAGTTACTGATCCTCAGCCTCGACCTCGTGAAGAATCGAGTGATGGTGATGGGCGTGGAAATGAGGAAATCGTTCATCGGTTCGATCCTGGTCGGTTTGATCGAGAAAACGCAAGACATCAAGGTGATGAAAGCGATCACGAAGATGCTGGAGGAGTGGATGAAGAACAAGAATCCGATTGCGATGAACCAAGCGCCCAGTCTTCGCGAGAAGTCGATTCTACTGGTGAAAATGATGCAGTACGTGGAGAAGCGATTCCCGGACGACCTGGAGCTGAACAGGCAATTCCTGGAGCTCGTCAATTTCATCTACCGAGACGAGACTTTGAAATCCTCGGAATTAACGTCGAAATTGGAGCCGGCGTTCCTGTCCGGTCTGCGTTGCATCCAGCCGCAGATAAGGGCAAAGTTCTTCGAGGTGTTCGATGGGTCCATGAGAAGGCGGCTGCACGACAGGCTTCTCTACATCATATGCAGCCAGAGCTGGGACGCGATCGGCCCTCATTATTGGATCAAGCAGTGCATCGAACTGCTGCTCGTCACCGCGAACTCGAGCACTCAGATTCAAATGTCGAACCAAGACACGTTGCTGCCCAGCGTGACGTCCGTAATAAACATGGCGGACAGCGAGGAGCACAAGAATTTCATGATATACAGCTCGATCAAGGAGGAACCGCAAGACATTTCGGACACGGTCGACGTGAAAGACGAGATACTGGACATGGACCTGTCGAACGCAGACTCGTCGACTATTCCGGAGGAAATCGCCACCGCGGGGAAGACCACCCTGACGCAGTTGATAGTGAAACAGGGAGAATTCATCGAACACGCGAAAAAGATCCGAACGGAACAGCTGCTGCTGGCTGCGGCGCAACTCTGTCACATGGACACGAACCTGGCGGAGCGAGTCTGGCTGGACACTTTCCCCAGGATCTGGAGTATACTGGACGAACACCAGCACAACACCTTGATAGCGGAAGTGGTGCCTTTCATTTGCAGCGGCACGCACGTGATTCAAAAGGACTGTCATCCCAGCGCGATCGCCACGTTCGTCGAGGCGATATCCCACTGCAATCCAGCGGTGCCTATGAGGCCAGCCTTGATGAAGTACCTGGGCAGATCGCACAACCTCTGGCACAGGATGACGCTCAGCTTGGAACAGATGGCTTTCGACAACGGGAACAACCAGTTCAAGATCAAGAGGGAGTCGGACTGCTACGACTTCGAGCCGGACAACAGTCCTCACGCGGAGATCCTGGACTCGTTGTCGGACATGTACTCGTTGCTCTGCGAGGAGGACATGTGGTCCGGCCTCTGGCAGAAGCATGCTCATTACAAGGAGACCCTTCAGGCCACTGCGTTGGAGCAACAGGGTTTCTTCGAGCAGGCTCAGGGAGCGTACGACGTGGCCATGTCCAAGTTCAAACAGGACTACGTCTCGACTCCCGCTCCTTTCAAGATCCAGCGGGAGGCGATGCTTTGGGAGCAACACTGGATAAGATGCGCGAAGGAGTTGAACCAATGGGATCTGCTGCTGGATTACGGTAGCAAGAAGGCGGAGAAGAATCCGTTCTTGATTCTGGAGAGCTCTTGGCGTATCCCGAATTGGACGATGATGAAGGAGGCTCTTGCGCAGGTGGAACACAACTGTCCGAAGGAGATGGCTTGGAAGGTAATATTTATTTACATTTGTGCTTATATTTATTGGAACATAGATCATAGCTTCTTCTTTCCAGGTGAACTTGTACCGCGGTTTCCTGGCGATATGCAACAGCGAGGACCAGCACCTGAACGCTGTGGAACGATACGTGGAGCTGGCTTCCGGTCTCTGCATGCGCGAGTGGCGCAGATTGCCTCACATCGTCAGCCACGTGCACCTGCCGCTGCTGCAGGCTGCTCAGCAAATCATGGAGCTACAGGAGGCCATGCAGATCCATCAGGGACTGTTGCACGGCAGGAGCACGTCGTTGCACGATATGAAAGCTATCGTGAAGACCTGGAGGAATCGGTTACCGGTGATAGCGGACGACCTGAGCCACTGGTCGGACATCTTCACCTGGCGACAGCACCATTACACGTTCATCTCGAGCCACTACGACTCTCAACAGGACCAAACGACCAACCACGCGATGCTCGGCGTGCACGCGTCGGTCCAGGCGATCATTCACTTCGGGAAGATCGCTAGGAAGCACAACCTCTGCGGAGTGTGCTTGGACTCGTTGTCCAGGATCTACACGATCCCCAGCGTTCCCATCGTCGACTGCTTCCAGAAGATCAGACAGCAGGTCAAGTGTTACCTGCAGATGGCCTCCGTCAGCGGGAAGAACGAGCTGCAGGAAGGTCTCGAGGTGATCGAGTCGACCAACCTCAGGTACTTCACCAAGGAGATGACCGCGGAGTTCTACGCGCTGAAGGGGATGCTTCTGTCGCAAATCGGCCGGTCGGACGACGCGAACAAGGCGTTCTCCGCCGCTGTGCAACTCCACGACACCTTGGTGAAAGCTTGGGCCCTTTGGGGCGACTATCTGGAACACATATTCACCAGAGACGCTCGTCAGATATCCATCGGGATCTCGGCGATCACTTGCTTCCTTCACGCCTGCAGACACCAGAACGAGTCGAAGTCTAGGAAGTATCTGGCGAAAGTCTTGTGGCTTCTGACCTACGACGACGACAAGTTCTCTCTTATGGAAGCCGTGGACAAATACGCGGTGGGGGTGCCTCCTATTCAGTGGTTGCCCTGGATACCTCAGCTTCTGATGTGCCTGGTGCGACACGAGGGCAACGTTATCTTGAATCTGCTCAGCCAAGTCGGCCGGGTGTTCCCGCAAGCGGTGTACTTCTCGATCCGGACTCTGTACTTAACGCTGAAGATCGAACAACGCGAGAGATACAAGAGCGCGGAACTGGCTGCTGGAAAGAATCAGGAAGGCGTCGAGGGTCGCGGAGCTGGGGGGAATGTTCAGCAACAAGGAGTACCTGAAACAGGACCGATCAGAGCCACGCCGCCCATGTGGAGGTGTTCGAAGATCATGCACATGCAGAGGGACATTCATCCGACTATTTTGTCCAGCTTGGAAGGAATCGTAGATCAGGTTGGTTTTCATTGTGTGAAAACCTCTCATTCAATTCGACGATTCGAATCGAGTCACGTGCGTTTTCCAGATGGTGTGGTTCAGGGAGACGTGGTACGAAGAGGTTCTCAGGCAACTGAGGCAAGGCTTGGCGAAGTGTTACGCGATAGCATTCGAGAACCGTGGAGCTGTCAGCGAGGCCACCATCACGCCTCACACCTTGAACTTTGTAAAGAAGCTGGTCTCGACGTTCGGCATCGGCATAGGTAAGAAGTTCGTTGTTCCCGAGTTTCCCTTCGATCTGCCAGAAAGAAATCCTCACAGACGATTTCTGTAAATCGCAGAGAACATATCTCCGTCTCAAAACGTGAACAACACATTTGGCTCGGCGGCTTCAGAATCATTGGCGCGCAGGGCACAAGCTACCGTCCAGGATCCCGTTTTCCAGAAAATGAAAGGTCAATTCACCAGCGACTTCGACTTTACCGTGCCCGAGGCGAGGCTGCTCCACAATTTGATCAGCAAGCTGAAGAAATGGATCAAGATTCTCGAAGGAAAGACGAAGCAATTACCAAAGTGAGTGTTTATTTCGAAACTGGTGTAATTTACATTCTGCTTAGGTGTCAAACACGTTGTAACATTGAACGATTTTCGGCAGGTCTTTCCTGATCGAAGAAAAGTGTCGGTTCCTCAGCAACTTCAGCCTGAAGACCGCGGAGGTGGAACTTCCCGGTGAATTCCTGTTGCCCAAACACTCTCACTACTACGTGAGGATAGCCAGGTTCATGCCTAGGGTGGAAGTGGTCCAACGACACAACACAGCGGCCAGGAGGTTACGCATTCGTGGCCACAATGGTCGTCTGTACCCGTACTTGGTAGTGAACGACGCCGGTTTAGGCGATGCGAGACGCGAGGAACGCGTCCTGCAACTGCTGAGAATGCTGAACCACTACTTGGCTAAGCAGAAGGAGACTTCCAGGAGGTTCTTGCACTTCACGGTGCCGCGAGTCGTCGCGGTTTCGCCGCAGATGCGACTCGTCGAGGACAACCCCGCCTCGGTCTCCCTGCTGGACATTTACAAACAAGGCTGTGCGAAACTAGGAATAGAACACGATGCACCTATAGCTAGGTATTACGAGAGGTTGGCGACGGTGCAGGCAAGAGGCGCGCAAGCGAGTCATCAGGTTCTCAGGGATATACTGAAGGAAGTGCAAACCACTATGGTCGCCAGGACAATGTTGAAAGACTGGGCGGTGAAGACGTTCCCGGGTGCCACCGATTACTGGACGTTCAGGAAAATGGTATACGCATAAGAATAAAATGACACTTTAATTCTAATACTGACCAAGTCGAATAGAGCTTGCCTAACATCACTTCTATCTTACAGTTCACATTACAATTATCCCTGGCCTGTTTCGCCGAGTATGTGCTCCACTTGACGAGACTGAATCCGGACATGATGTACGTGCATCAGGACTCGGGTCTGATCAACATCGCTTACTTCAAGTTCGATGTTGACGACACGTCCGGCGAGCTAGATGCCAATAGGCCAGTCCCGTTCCGTCTGACACCGAATATCCTCGAATTTCTGACGAGTACAGGTACGTAAAAGCATATCGCGATATTTCTTTCACCGATGGTACAAGAGTAAATCGAATCTCGCACGCTGGAAGTAAATGAATTGTGCGCAGGTGTCTCGGGGCCGCTGACCGCAAGCGCCATCGCCACAGCGCGATGCCTAGTGCAACCATCCTTCAAGGTACACACGATTCTACGTGCAATCTTGCGCGACGAAGTGATCGCGGATCACAATAAGAAACAGGAAGATGCAGAGAACGCGTCGCAAGCGCCGACAGACATGAAGGGCGAGCTTCTGATAACAATGGTCACTCGTGCGGTCACCGCGATCGTCTCCAGGCTGAACTCCTTGGCGAATTTCGACGGGACCGATAGCAAAGTCAGCACGCTGGTTGCTGCAGCGAACAGCCACGACAATCTGTGCAGAATGGACCCGTCGTGGCATCCGTGGCTGTAAAACGCGCCCTCCGAACTGGCCTACACGTGCTTCCATTGTTGAACAGGCGCTGGGAACGTCGATCGTCCTGGACGGTTCTCATTCGATGAATTTGTATCATTATTCGCATTACTTTCAATTCCACGCGGGAACCGTCCAAGGCGATCGACGCTTCTCGGCTTCCGGATCTCTCGATTCGTTTACCATTACCTTCTCTTTCGTTTGTTTTGTAGTCGCTGCGTTCGTGTAAATATTTCTGTAGGGATGTAAGGTGACACAAGGTGCGTTTTCTTTTGTAACTCTACAAACGGAGTGGTTATGATCGCGCGCGCGTTTCTTGCGTCAGTGAATTTCGTTTACCACGTGTTTATATGTCGTGTAAAATTTCTCGCCTCGAGAATACTACGTGTATCATTTACTGTACATAATTTTAAATATAAGCGTTATTTATAGATCTGTTTATAAATCTAAAAAAAAAAGCGGAGAAACATGAAGGGGAAAGAATAAAGTGTCTGAAACAATTATTCTCAGTTCCGTGATTTCTCACATCCTTGTGGCCGCGGGAGGGATATGCTCGGGCATCAGTCTAGTCGAGTCGTATTAAATCCGTATATTTTAAAATAATAATATAACCGACATCTCACTATCGTTCATACTTATCGCCCGGTTTCCGCTAAATCGGCGCACTCGTCCCAGAGTGTCGTTAATTAGTAAAAAAAAAAGGTTCTCGCTGCTACTTCGTCGGCTTTAGAGTAATATTTCTGAGCATGCAGAGATCTCTCGCAGTTGCCTTGCGTCCGGCCGCAGTCTGAATATCGTAGAATCGTAACAGTATATCAGTCGTGAATAATTCCGGCAGTGCTTTCAGAAGACAGGGGACCTGAGGAAGAAAAAGAACATTTTAGATTCGGTTCCGCGACGAATCTCGAAACGAGAAAGGTTGCAGGTCTCTCTCACCAACGTCTGCGGCATCCCTTGCAAAACGATGCGAGTTCTATCCTTGCCGCACTGCACCATGAGACGAAGGAACTGGAGTATGAAATGGGTTTGTTGGGACACCTCGCCGTCTCTGCCGGCTAGGAAGGAAAATATCGTGAACAACCCGTTCAACGCGGTCAGCAGAGGATCCCTCAATACAATCGACTTTTGCCCATTCGTCGGACCTTGAGCCTGCGGGCTCTGCGAGCCGAAAATCGGATTGGAATCTCCCGCCTCGTTTAGTCTTAAAATTTTGTTCGCCGGAACGCCGAGAGCGTCCAACTCTTCAGCGTCTAGGTCTCGTCGTACGCGTTTCCTGCTGCTCCCGCGATATGGATTCGAATTGTTAAACTCTAAGGTAGAAAATATACAGTACACGCACAGCTTCGCTAAAACCGAGGACTGTGGCTCTACGAGTTCTTCGCTTCTGGAAGAAACGAGGCATGATTACGAGAGGATTCAATTTCTCGCGGTGGTAAATTCGTTAATCAGTCGAAGAACTCACTGTAATGAATTATATAAATACTGTGGAATGATATGGTTTATGAGATCTAATGTACAGTTTTCGATGTCGAGGTGAAAAATGGCGAACGCTAGGTCCACGGCGTGGTCCAGTTCCTCTTGGTAACGAAACTTCAGCACTTCCTTCACTATATTCGAGACGAACCACAACGAACCGCCGGTATTCAATAAGGACTCCAAGGATTGCGTCGCTTGGAAGTTTATCCAGCCTCGTTGATTGACGTTCCTCCAGACGGTTTCTAATTGCTCGAGTATCGGTTGTCTCGATATGATGCTGGTAAAAGAAAAATCGATCAGACCGAGTCTTTGGAAGACGGTAACAGTCAACAAACACACCTATGAGACATCGAGAGGACCTTCGTCTTCGATTGGGTAGGAGGGTGAACGTCGTACTGCATCTTCCGAATGATCTGAGACATCAGGCTGGACCGCTCCTTCAGGTTGTCCTGCAGCTCGTCCCCCGGGAGCGGTGTCAGAAAGTGTTGCACCATGTTCATCGGCTTCAAAAGCGCATCTTGATGAGTGATGCTCATGTACGCGCAAAGCCATGCTGCTGCGCAAACCGGTAGACAGCAGGCTGTCGCTCTCAACCCGTCCAAAGCCCTTTTCACATCGCCGGCGCCCAGCACGTCGCTCTCCCAAGCGCAGAGAAGCTCTTTGACAGCGCCCATGGCCGACTGGCACGCGATGTGCCATTTTATGTTGCTGGACTTGAAATCGGAGTCAGGGGAATTAATCTGCGCCAGCAACGCGTCCACCCTGGCGGAATCGATGTTTTGCAGCATCTTCTGGGGCGACTTTGGTTGGTTCCGTTCGGGCATACACTCGCGTACCCATTGCTCGAAGAAGGAGTCCCCTCCGCCTTCTTCGAGGACAGCATCCGATCCATAGGTCTGCACTATGGAGCACAGCATCAGGAACGAGACGTCGAACAGCATAGCTCTGGTTGCTGCGGTCTTTGGCGGCACAGGTTCGTTGATCTGCTTGCTGCACTCGTTGAACTTGATCAGTTTGGTGACGAAAGTCTTCAGCTTGCCTTCGACGGTGGCCACGGCTAACATCAGCTCGAAACTTTTCCCGGTTAGGACCTGATACAGCATGCTCAGCAACGCTTCGTGGATCTTCGTGTAATCCGCGTTCAGGGTCTTCAGTATTCCGGACAACGTTGGCTCTGCTCTGACGATCACTTTCGAGATCGACGGCGTGGACGTCGAGGATTCTAGCTTTGGCAAAGTGGCTGTGATACCCTCCCTTCTGCTGCACAGTTGTTTCGCCTGTTTCTCGGTGACCAAGCTGACTTTCTGCAACGCGTTCAACAGACACTCGACGCTGTTGCAGGAGCACGCGGTGTCCATTATGTCGAGGAGCGGGGTGAATTGTAGCAACAGCTCGAACGCGTCGAGGATGTCTTGGGAATACTCCGGTTTGTCGTCGCCGTTCGAATTCGCGACGTGCAGCTCCTTCAGAATAAGAGGAACCTTCAGAAACGTGAACGCACCCCATTGCGATTCCTTGAACGTGCCGGTCACGTTGTGCAGCGACATCAAGCAAGCACGAATTATCTCGCAGTACAACCTAGCGTTCGTGTAATTCTTCAGTCTCTGAATCATCAACAGCTGATTGACGAATACGGCTGTCTCCGTGCTAGGATTCAACAACACTTGGACCGCGAAAAACGGCTGCAGACAGTGCGTGATGGATTCCATTTGCGTCATTTCCGAGGACAGGGACAGACATTCCACTTCCAAATTGCACAATTTCTTTAGCGAATCCTCGATCGGCACGGAAGACTTTAAACTGCTGGTCTTCAACAGAGCCTCGATTTCCTGACACTTTTTCACAACGTCTATGTACAAATCTGAAAATGGAAATTCCGTGGTAATGCTCTTCCTTCGTTCTGCCTTCTCGTTTATTAATTACCTTTGTCATCGTATTTGGCTAAGTACATCATCGCGCAAAGAAAATCCGAGCTAAGCATTTGCTTCAATATACTGGCAGGCTTGTCCATTAATTCGGTGGGTTGTGGGGTCAATGGACTGTTCTGAGGCATTTTCGTCAACGTGTGCAAGTAGCATTGCAACAGCCAATGCACAATGGATAAAACAGCGGCTGCTAGCAGATCTTCTTCAGGTTTACCACGGCAAGTAATACCTATTTGGATTGATTCTAGAAATTCTAGTAAACTTAGGATACAGTGAGGCTTGTGAAAGGCATCGTATTTGCTTATCCGTTGCAACACAGCAGCATAGGAGACCAACTGGAAATATATTTATAATTCTAAATGTGTTTGATAAGAGTGTATCGATACTCATTATTAAACGGATTGTACCTGAGAACTTAAAGAGTGTTTTAGGTAAGAGAGGACTAATTGATTTGGACCGAGTCCTACCAATGCCTGTTGCAATATACAGTCTGCTAAATTATATACATCTCCGCTAACTCCTCTTGGTAATATCTGAAAGGAGGTGCAGAGTAGTCGGGAATAATGTTGTTAATTATTTCATTATTTACTTACCGTTTTAATATTAATACCCCATTGTAAATCACTCCAGCGTTCTCTCCATGCCCGTAGCAAAAGAGCCTTTAAGCTGCTGGTTTTACTAGTTACTTTAGTCTCCATAGCTGACACTAGAAGGTTACACATAATTCCTTCTTCTCGAATTACGTCTGCAATGTTATTAAATACCATAAAGGGTTGCAATAAGTAACTCCAAATAATGTATAATAGAACACTCCATAACTCTTTGTACGAATACACAGAATGCCATTTATTCGAACAGGAGAAATTGCGTAAATTAGAAAAAATACGATTCGGTAAATAAATGATCTACGTGTAAGATAATATGTTTATAATAATAATATGTAACCTTACAGAAGTAGAAATTGCACAACACTCTGTGACTACGGTACAAATAAAACTCCGAAATGAACTTATAAATAGAGTATTTTATGTGAATATTCAGCCTACCTCATTTCATAAAATTTCTATAATTAATAAATTACTATAACTGGCATATTTTCAATCGGTTTTCGGATCGTAACCTAACCACAGCCGCCATGATCTCCGCCATGGTGTAGGTAACCGTAGGGGTATTCAAGCTGCAACGCGATTCGGCAGACATCAAACGAATGATCGATACGAAATGCCTACAGTGCCGTTCAATTTTCAAAACGTCAAATCATCAAATGTTCGTTTGAAACCGACGGAAATCCGTTTCACCAAAATTTCTCGTCTCTTTCCCAGCAAGAACATTCACGCGTGATGTTCATTCGACGGTGCATCGGATAATTGAAACGCAACCCCTTTAAAACCACTCAAGATTCAATCAACTGAATACAAACTGTGAATTACCATGGACTGTCACATTCTGTAATACCCTAAATCACTCAAAGGTGTATTAATAGCTTCCCGCATTCGATTCCCACCAGCGTGATATTAAAAATTGCCTTGAAACTACTTTGCCGTTGATCCAGGATTCAATTTCTATTCGAGGACCAGCGTCTGTTTGTACGAAAGATGGGTGTATGCACAAGAAGAGTGCCGCCATCCTCATCATTGAACATCTTCGCCCTGTTAGCCTGGCGGGGATGGAGTTTCTTGGTGTTCATAGGTTTACTTATAGCCATCGGATTGTTCTACCGCGAGTACATAAACGTACGTTTCCAATTCTCCTCGTTTGCATTGCCGTTCGTTCCTCGAGAGGCAATTCCCCCGTAAACGGTGGGATTGGCATTCGAATTGACATTTCAATTGAAACCGTAGATTCGAGTATCTCGCAGGGGTGAAAGTTCACGGACGAAAGATTCAGGTATAATCAGCTCGAGCAATTTGTTACAGAAATCTTGAGCTCGATAACGACTCGATCCCGGTGTATCCGTGACCCTACTCGACGCCGCCAGGAGAAAGGGAAGAAAGGGCTGGAGCCGATGCATTTTACGAGGGGATCCGTGGGGGAACGGATTCCGCCTTGGATTCCTTCGATAATCCCCTCGGCGGATACTTTCGAGCGATGACTAGTGCAGCGTGAAAGCATTCGCCGCAGCGATCGATCTACGGAATCCGTCTGCAGGATTCGACGCGCGGAGATGCGAAAATCTGTGAAATAAAGTAACCGAAACGGCTGGTAAACTCGCTCGGAGGTATCGTTGAATAAAGGAGAGATAATCGAAGGAAGTCTGCGTCAACGGCTCCGACAATTGCCTACAGATTTGGAGCCGAGTCGCGTGACTCACCGGTGTGTACCGAATGCGTCGTGCGGCTTCGAGCGACCAACCGGAATCGATGGATCTGATGCAACGCCGGGAGTGCAAACGCGCCTGCATTTTCGAGTCGATCGCTTCGCGATTCCGTTGAGTCGGTTTCAAAGGAGAAACCACCGCGGCACGCGAGGCTATCGTGTGCGTTTCGTTCGATAATCTCCCTACGCGATTACGCAGCTAACGAGGGCAACTTCTTTCCCCGATAATCTTCGGCGTCGAGCAGTGAACGGCTCTCCTTATCGGCTATTCATCTATCTCCTCGAGAAGGAACCGTTCGCCGGGGCGGGAGGGCGGGCTGCCGAATAACAGGAATCCCCGCAGCCAACAATCCGGCATTGTTTCGTCAGTTTGAAAAGGCGGCCGACGGGCGACGCCGCGCATTTCGATTCATCGAGGTATCGTTGCGGGATTCCCTCTCGGCCAATCGGTTCTCGGGTAACTGGTGCGCCTGTGTGACGCACTAACTGCCACGCTGGCAGTTCAATTGACAATCGGATAGTGGCGAGCGAGGTCGGCACGCAGTATTCTCGTCGGTTTAAAAAACAAACAGAGTCGCGTCCGCGGTGTTCGGCGACGATCGAGAGGAAGGCTCCCGAACGCGGGCCGTCGCGGCCGTTCGAATTCCAGGAGGAATAAAAGTCGGGTCGTCGTCCAGCGATGCCGGTCCGAGCGGCTGCTCGAAAAATGCTTGCGCCAGCGGCCGAGGAGAGCTGAGAGAAAACCGGTCCCTCTCTCTTCGCGTGTGCAGTGCGCGGCTCCGCGCGAGTTCTCTTCAGGGTGGGGCGAGAACAGAGGCGAAAACCGACGTCGCCGTCCCTCTGTCCGTCCGTGACGGGTTTCTTTCGCTCCGTTACTTAGTCGGGACTGGCGTGCTGTAACGCGTCGAGGTGCATCGTCGTCGTCTCGATCGACTCGATCGTCGTCTTCGTCGTGCGACGGTGCGGTGTGTGCTCGGTGTGCTGCCTGGTATTCCCTTCGTTTTTCATGGGAGCGTAAAGTGCGCGACTTCGTCGACGGTGCGCGCATACAGTGTTGAACGTCGATAATCGCGGAGAAGCGTGGCCGGGATGTCGTCGACGGACATAAACCTGATGGACTTCCTGTTCCCGCGGGAGGACTCGTTCCTGAAAGGCGACGTTAAGGACGAGCCTTTCATAGACCAGAGCTACGGCGACGACGCCATCGCGGTGAGTACCCGCGGCGCACACGCCTGTCCGCTGCCCACACGGCTACCAGCGGGATCATTCCCGTTTCCCTTTTTATTAAATTTAGAACGCAAGCACGCCCCTCGGGAACGACTCTATAACAGGGTGAGATATCGCCGGACGAATTCGTGCGGCTGGCCTCGCGATATACGTGAACTGTGAACCCTGCCAGTTTTTCTACGCGAGCTCGATTGCTCGGTTAATCGGTTTATCGAGGAAAGAAACGGGGAATCGCGCGTCTCGTTGGGCAACACGATTATTAATACCGTTCCCCGGACTTCCCGGAACCACGGGCTGAAACGGTTTTCCTCGAACGACGGCCGTGCCTCTAGAGAGTGGTCCGGCGTGTCGTAGGCTCCTCCGGGAAACGGCCGCCTAGGCGACGGACCGCGCGTCGGCTGGTAAGAAAAGCTAGGGCCACCTTTGTCGAGCTTGCTATCTGGAATGCTAATACGGGAATAATGGCCAAGGCTGGCGAAACCTTTTTAAACACCGACTCACGCTTTACGCAATCGCTTCTCGACGCGCGATATTGTGAGAAAGCACGTCCAACTCCGTTCTCAAACCCGCACGGCGTGGCCTGATTAATTTTCTTCGACGCGAACTCGAAGCTCTCGCGTGCATCGGGCCGAACAAGGGACGAGAGAGGCGCCGAGTTTCGCTCGGCGACGGGAGAATGTCCGATCCGCGAAAAAGTAATGGTACATTTCACCAGTGCAGCTTGTGCTACTTTCATCCGTGGATCTCCGATCGCCGACCGTTTCCGTCGACCAGACGAGAGAGTCTCTTCCTTTTCATCGCCGGCAATTGCATTTAATTACTCCGAACGAATACGGCTGCGGTCACAGTCGTCGACCGCACGAGACGCGAGCCGTATCACGCTCAGACGCCTATGGAAATGGATGTTTACGTCGGCAGTTACAAACACTAGACACGATCCGTCGAAAGTTCCCGTTAGATTACGGCGGTTCGCGTTTATTCGCGTTTATTCGCGTTTATTCGCGTTAACATATGGTATGCGCGGCCCACGTGGGTCGCGCGTGCACTTTGACGGCCGGACCATTGTGTCGCGCGTTGTCGCCTTTTCAGGCGCAACGTCGCGAACAGGGTGCGACAGTTTCATTCAGAAAACTCCCTGTAATTACCTTCGAAAGCGTAGCGTTAACTTACCCGGAGTACCGTAACCGAGCGACGAACGTTTCGCCGATTAGACGAGCGCCGCTCGAACGTACGAATATCCCTGCACTCGTACGCTTTTGGAGTTCGTTGACGTTTACAATTGTCTTCCGGTGTTCAATGCACGTAACACGTCTTTGGAAAACTGCTATTATTACGTAATCCCTGCAGAGTTTTTGTAACATATGGAATGGTCCGATGCACGTGCCGGTGCGCCGAGCGCCGCCATATTGGATTCCCTGTTACCTCTTCGCTGGACACCTACAGCTTATAAACGAATGCATCGGCACGGAATGGGCACAGTCATTGCCACCGCAGTCTTTCTTAGGTCAAGGCTGCGGCCAGGTAAATAGTTTATATTGTTCTCCAGGTCAATCGATTCTGTTACCTGCGGGCGAAGGTGTACGGCTTCGGATTTCGAATCAGACCGAGAACGCCAACTTACTCGTCGCGGCGAGCGACCTTCGAACGTGGAATACCGTTAACTTACGGGACCCACTGTGAATAGTCTAAAAAATTCCGACTCCTTTCCACGCCAGGAACAATCGAATCTTTCGCTAGCTCGCCGCGCAGCTTCGCATCTCCGTGTCTGTCGCTCGGAGCAACTTCGGAGGATGCTGTTCCGAAACTTTGGACAGCCAAAGAGATATTTCGATAAAGATATTTCGGTAGCGCGTGTTTACGCTTGTCACTGTAATAAAGTCTACGAGCGAACCGGACGGTTCGCTGGAGCGTGTGAGCCACGAAACGCAGCCACGGCGTGGTCGGGAAAATAGAAGATCTCGAGTTAGCTCAGACTTATTTATAGTCCTTTTAAAGCGTATGGAGAAAACGCGGTTTACGTCAACCTTTAATATGCCGTTGAATCGCGGACACTTCTCGAGAAACGACGCGGTTTCATCGAGATCGTAATCGGCGATCCAATCGGGACGGGTGATCAACCGTTGAGCGACGCGGACAGCTTCGAGTCCTCGTCGATCCGCGAAATCTTCCGCGCTCGGTCTACGAGCGAGAAACGCGGAATTCTCGAATTGCCGCGTGTCCGTCTCGCACGACACTTGACTATATTTACCATAGCTCGCGAACTGGGTTAACCGACATTGGGCAAACGGCTGGTTCGCTCGTGTCGAGCGACAAGCACCATGCGAACGAACGGCCATTTCTCAAGCTTCGCTAAGTCGATTAGCCCGACTTTCAGCCAGACGCGTAAGTGGAGCACGCGATCATCAACAGAAATTGTTGGTACCGCGCGGCGATCGCGAGATTAGAGCCGCGTTTCAACCGGTGTCGAGCGCGAGAACAAACAAGGCTGATACGTCGGGTGAATAATCCGAGCTAGATGAGAAACCGTGCGCGAAACGAACGCCGGGCGAATCTCTTTAATCGCCGGCGAGATCTTCGCGGCGAAGAAAAGAGGTTCCCCTTTAAAATTGCGGCTCTCCGCGGATACTCTCGACCCAGACCGAAACCTGGCGTTGACCAACAAAAGGCAAGCTCGTCTTAACCCAAATGTCGGTAACCGAGCCATCCGAGTGCACGTTCTCGCAGAGGCAACCGTGATTCGGTGGACGAGCGTCCGTTTGAATAACGATACTTGGCAGACGGTGAAAGGATCCGAGCACTCTTGCTCGGTCTGTCCTCGTACGTCTCGGTTATCGAACGCGGGGCTTAGGGAAAACGGTTTCGGGCAGCCGAAAATAATTGCGCGCGATCCGCGTTTGATGTTCAAGGCGGAGGAATGGCCCACAAACCCCGACGACTTTCTCGACTCCATCTTCAAGCTTGGGGACAATCAGTTCGACCTGATCGAGAATGATCTGGACACGATCCCGTCCTCGTCCTCGGACAGCGGACTGTCCAGTGCCCTGAGTCTCTCCTGCGAGCAGCAGCTGAGCCCGTTGCTGCCCATCGAAGAGGATCAGGTGGAGATCAGCAACTCGGGGATGAACAGCCCGCAGAACTTCGTGGACTTCGACTCGCTGGACAGTCCGAACCAATCGATGGGCAGCGTGGACAGTCCGGTGAGATCGGTGGTCAGCTCGAACATCGGTTCACCGGCTACGGACGTCGCCGAGGAGATGGACGTCGAGCACACGCTGGTGGCCGTGGTGAATCCTAACAATACCTTCACCGACGTGAACATGACCAACATCGCGGAGTCACCGGTTATCGATCTAGGTAAGGATGTCTTTCGACTCGCTCAGACAATGCTGGAGGACGCGTTACGTCCGCCAGAAATAACCAGTCGATACAACGCTCCTCGAAGGCTACGCCGCTCGTTGGATGCGTCGCGACTAATTGCGAGCGCGAGCTAATGAATATTCATCGCGGTTCTGGAACGGCGCAGTTATTATTAAGGGAATTCGTGTCGCCGGAAAACAGCTCGCGGATGTTGCTCGGTCTGGGCTCGGTTCGATTGTCGGCTAGACGGAGATAATGCCCGGTAATTCGCCAGACGAACGCTGTTTGAACAGATGCCGCGCGTTTGGGCAACCATTGAAACCTGCGAGTGGATCGTAGATATTAGAATCCGCCAAGGTTGAGGAGATAATAGCCTGCCGAGGAACGGATCGATAGTCGAGAGCGCGGGAAAATACGAATCGCCGAATCGACGGAAGACACGTTTGCTTTCAGACAAAGCGCCGAGACAGCAGATCCAGGTCGCGCCGCAGGAGAACAATTCGCTGAACGTGCGCAACATCGCGTGCAACGGGAAGCGAAACATCAGGCAATTGATACGCGTGACGCCGATGGGCTCCGGGAACCCGAGGTCTATCCTCCTCCCAGTGAGTCTGAAGGACATGAAAGAGGTGCGGACCATAAAGATCATCAACGCGTCGCAGGCGAGGAATCTGAAAGGGTTCAAGATCAATCAGGCCAACATCATCAACAAACCGGTGCAGGTAGGGGAATCGCTCCGGTCCTTGGCTAGAGATAAGAGGGAGAGACGAGACGATTAAAGAAAATCGAAGGGACGTCTCTTCGATGTCTTTAATTCACCGGTCGTCTATAGGGTAATTCGAGCTTCGGTCAATGTCCCTTCATCTTTTCTATCCTCTTTCTGTTCAGATGACCATCAAACAGGAGGATTCCAGCAGCGAGAAGGGGTGCAATTCCAGCGACGAGGTGTCCGAGTCCGAGTCCCCGTACCCGAGGCTCAAGCTGAACGCGGAAGAGAAGCGGCTGCTCCAAAAGGAGGGGATCACGTTGCCTTCCCATTACCCGCTGACGAAGCACGAGGAGCGAGAGCTCAAGAGGATCAGGCGCAAGATTCGTAACAAAATATCCGCCCAGGACTCCCGGAAGAGGAAAAAGGAGTACGTGGACGGGCTGGAGGATCGCGTGAAGCAGTGCACGGAAGAGAACATGACGCTGCTGAAGCGGATCAAAGCGCTCCAGTCGCAGAATCAGAGCCTGGCTGGCCAGCTCAAGAGGCTGCAGGCGCTGCTGCAGAAGGGCAACAAAAGCGCCCAACCGGCCACGTGTCTGATGGTCTTGCTGCTCTCATTGGCCCTGGTCGCTGTACCGAATCTGCGACCGCACTCCAATTCCAGCAACGAGCTCGCGCAGGAACAGGAGCAGCCTGAGAAAATGCCACCGTTGGCAGGTCAGTCTAACGTTTCCTCGGTATTTTCTTAACATCGACAATTTCATCCCCTTCTCTGTTGTTTGCCTCCCAAAGAATACGATCCTCTATCAAAGACGAATATTCCAACGGAAATCATTTGTCGTCCGGTTGCATTCGAAATGTTCTACGGACTGAACAAGTTACACAATCGTTACGGCTATCGTTGCATAGTATCGTTGCCACGCGGATTCTGCTGAAGAAGATTTCTCGTCCGCGAATGATTTATGATCGCACAGGATCGCGCGTTTATTGCATCGAGGAATAACTTTCGTGTCGAGCGAGATCGCCGAGAGCCGAAAGAAACTCGAACCTGTCTCGACCGAAAGCTTGTCGACTGTCACGATCTCGCCGAACCTTTTCGAACCGTTATATTAGCGGTTACGCGAGCTGAATGAGTTTGATAGCTCGCTGGGCCGGCCTGGAACATTGAACCCCATGGGACTGTGAAAGCTTCTTCTTTTTTCCCCGTTTCTTTTTCGCCTCGCTTTCGCGTCCTGCGGTTTGCTGCTTCTCGGCCTCGTTCGTTGCTCGCGCGAACGAGCTGCTTGTTATCTACGTGAAAAATGAAACGTCGCCGACACAGTTTTCTTCTGTTTAACGCGAAACATCGTCGGAGATATTTTAAAGTAAAATTCCGACGTATCGCGACAGAAACGAACAGATACAAAGTAGCTTGTAAATTGTCAGGTGCTTCGGAACGTGTTTCCGATATATTAGTGTTTCCACGTTATCGGTGCTCGATTCGCCACGCGAAATAAGGCTTCTATAATTGTGTCGGACAAAGGAGATAACGCGTTCGTCCTCGACACGCCGATATCGGGCACCGTTCGCCGACGGACGTGCAATTCACACCCTTCGAGGTATCGTTAGGCGAGGACAATGCGCGAAAGACGCTCGGACTCGTCACCTAAGGGAAAACGATTCTCAGACTTTGACGCGTATTTATTATCTCGAGTCACGATTAGGTAACCCCAGATAATTGAGCGACGTTAGGTGAATACTTTACGTAACCGTCGACTTTTAATCTCGATAACTCAACGAATACAAGACGCGTTCGGTTTCTCTTTCGTGAACCACGGCGTGGGTCATTCCCGCGCTTCCGACTCGATTCGCGCCTCTATTGTTCGTGGAAATGATTCAGCCTTCGTCAACTCCGATCAACGTTCCGCGAATTTCCGAAATCAGTGTCGCCGAACGTTCGCGCGGCGAATTCTGCGAACTCGGCGAGACGGCGACGCGATATCAGCAGAATTTCTGATTGCGAAACAGATTTTCGCTCCGCGACTCTATGACTCGGCAAATCGAAGGATCGAAGTTTCGTGTTTTACGAACGATCGAATTCGATCCCGGCCACTCGAATCGGTCTTGAACCTCCTACTATTCAACTATTTGCCGAAGATTTTATCGGGCGTGCGCTCGAGGCGCTGATAACGGAACAAACAGAATATTTCGAAAGCGAGAACAACTATGGGGCTGATATTAAACACCGGTATGTCGAAATCGGAGCAGGCTGCGAGATCGGGCAGAACTTGCCCAGCTACTTTCTAAACGAGGACAAGAAAGCTTCGATCCCTTTCTCGCGCGAGCGATCCGTCTCTCGGCGATCTTTTGCTCGACCACTTTCTCGATAAGGCGCAAAGTTCCTCGATTCCCAGGAGGAAACAATAAAGTATGAATTTATAAGTAGAAAATTTTTAAAAAGAATTTCCCGTCACGTAATCCATTCACCTTCGATTACATTCTTACCTGGTCGAGCAACCTTCGAGGCTCTCGGAGGACAGAGGACCTTTCGAGGTGTCGTTGAACCCGATTGAAATTCAAACGCTAGAAGTTTAGGACCGGTGACGCGTACGTGGCGGGTTTCGTAAACGGTCTCTCGCCTCGATTACGAAATAAGCCGCATCAAGCTTAACCAAACACCGAGTGCACTGGGAAGCCATTAGCAACACTGTAACTACTATCTGCGATAATTATTTCGCACCAGCGATAACGGACGAGCGCGTAAACATGATAACTGCATCCTCGAGATAATTTCCTGCGAAATCGCAGACCTGGAATCTTCGACTTGTAGACATCCCAGACTTTACTGTCCGGAATTGTTGTTCGTCGTGCGACGGAAGAGGTGCCTAATGAAAATTCCATTCACTTTCCTAGTTGAAAAGCAAGAGTGGTAGTGGCTCGCTCGAATCTACACATAAAACAGAAACGAACGAGCTTATCTAATTTCTAAATATCCCGATTCCCATCGTTGCACTCGACGAGGTTTCCTCGTTGAACGATCCCCATTGAAAGCAATTCCACGCTACGCTCTATCGGCATTCGATCGTTCGAATGTTCGAGACACTGATCGAGACCGTTGGATTTCAGGCCGTTCCCGAACACTTCTGAACACGAACCAGCTGATGGACGAGGAGCTGCAGCAATACGGCGAGGAATTGCTGCAGGAAGTCGAGGGGCTGCTGGACCACGATTACAGCCCGGTGATCCAGCCTCCCCTTTACAAACGTCCTCGCATGGACATGGAACCGTCGCCGAAATGCGTCCTGTCTTCCGACCACGTGGGCGGGACGCTTTGCGGGAGACAGGAGAGCGCGATCTTCAAGTCCGGCCGGAAGTACATCGAGCCGCCGTTGGACGACGTTTGGCCGCCGCCGAATCCCGGCGGGCAGAAGAACGGGAAAGTGGTGGACAAGCTCGAGGCGCTGACCAACGAGCTCAAGATCAACATCTCGGACTCCGAGGGCACCAGGACGGTCCTCCTGAAGGTCCCGCAGGAACAATAAGAAGAAACTCCGACGCGGTCGCGTGCTTTCTCTTCTCTTTCCTCTTAGCATCTTTCTCCTTCTCTCTTCGCGAGCGACGATTCCTATTTCCTTCTGGCTATGATTCGATATAGTCCTTCTCCACGGTGACTTTCCCAGGTTTTCTTCCTCGGGAAGGAAAGATCAACGGGGAAGGGTCACCGAGTAATCTTCGAACGTAGGTCGTTAATCGTTCCGATTTCCTGGATGAATGAGAGATTCGCGGAGGGTCGAACGTTTCCGCTTCTTTCCCGCGTGAGTGGTTTCGAGGAACTGTCGCGGAGTCTGTTGCGTTTCGACGAGACGCGGTTCGCGTGCCGATCGCGATAGGGTTTAATAGAATGAACGATCATGTTTCTCGTATCTTCGGGACACGCCAGCGCGCGCCTCGCTACGGTCCTCGTGTCTTCGAGCGGCGAACGAGGAACTCGCGTTCGCCTGTCGTGAATGAAACGCCGTTATTCGTCGATACTTTCCGCGAGATGGTCGATACCTTTGATTCACATCGGTTCCGCATTCGCTTGTTAGTCAAGGACCGTGTCGCATACACCTAGGATCGTTTTTAGGCGAATTTTTCCAAGAGTTTTTATCGATTTAACGATATTTAAGGATTTATCTATTTATAAGGAGAATTTATTACGAGAGTTTTACAATTATTATTGCTGTTGCCGATGGTAAGAGATATTTGTACATAGTTACTATAATAGAAACGTAAAACTGACACAGAGATACATATATATATATATATATATATTAAATATATACCTATCATAGCTTTAACTTTAAATACACCTACACGCGTGATTCACCGCACGCGAAAGACAGTTTGTTCAGAAATGTGCGGTGGACCGCAATCGTCGATGATAATTCGTTTACTAAGGTACACATACGAAAATGTGTAGCATGCGTACGTTTCCATCCTTTGATGCGTGATAGATTTCTTTCGTTAGCCGGATGATGAGTTTCGTTTCATAGTTTTCTCTCGGGGCTGGGCCTATCGCGAAGCATAAATCTGTAGCTGTAACGCGGAATCACGCGAATCGCATAATTTTCTATGCAACACGATACGACCCGAATTATTCTCTCTGTCAAAAGATTTCTCATTGGGTCCAAACACACGCAATAAAACCTATTTTACTCGCTAAAACGCATTTTTAACTTGGAATTGTTCATCGAACGCGCGACCTGGCTCGAAAGGAAGAACGTTCCTTCGAAATTTGTGGCAAGCGTGCGACTTATCGTCCATTTAGCTTTACAGCCGCAGATATCGAGCGCAATCATATCACACGAGACGAGTTCGCGGCGGGTCGAGTCCGGCGAACACGTGCAACCGTACGAAACGTATTTAAACAAACGAAAATACTGCTGCGTGTTAACGACACCAGCCACGAAGACTGTATCATATACACTTGTAACGTTAGGCGCATCCTGACATTATCTTCGAACTCGACAAACACATTTCTCCTCGCCTCATCATCGATTCCTTTCGCGTTTTAGATAAGTTTAGGTGACGATCGTCCGATTAATTTTTACTTTATACACGATACAGCGGGACGCGCGTGTCACGCGCGTGTTACACACGCTCTAAATACATATATATATATATATTATGTATATACATACATATATATATTATTCACCGAATTGTAAATAAAACCACACCGTGAAGAACACATGTCGTCGTTGTTTGAATTTTATAGTAGCTCGTACTTACGTTAATCAGTTAGTTCTCTTTCTCTTTCTGTTTTTGCTCTGTTTTCCGATGGGAACCGTTCTTCCCGCGAATTGTAATCGGGTACACGTATATCATGTGAATGTCGTCGACGTTAAACAAAATATTGACAAGCGTTTGCTACTTTTTCTTTTCTTTTTTTTTCTAATTTAGATAAGTTCAACGATACATTCCTACCAGTAATGTTTATTCAAAAATAGAACCGTTCTATTTTTGCACTATGTAAAGGGGTTGATGGTACTACACTCTAAATTTTTGATTCAGTATACGTGTAACGACATTAGGAAATAAAAGTTGCGGTCAAATGCATTGTCTTGAACCTTTATTGATCATCTTATCCCTTTATTCCTGACCTGTGTCTGTCGATCGATCAACTATGAGAGTTTAAAGGGTTGAACACATCATCGAAATGACTTTCTCAAAATATCAGTCTTCCTCGAGGCTGAATGTTTCATTATTTATTTCACTGCACGTGTTGGTAAACGAAAGATTTGAAATTGGTGCCAATTCCCTTTATTCTATGACCATTTCACCAGCGCCCCTTACATTGTGAATCAAGAAACTCACCGATTATTTGATGACGCACTTCTTCAAAATGCTTGATTTATGGTACTAGTATTTTCCCGCCACAATCCGACCTCAATGAGTGTTTCAAACGACTTTCGAATCGAAACAAAACCTATGACATACCGAAAAGTAGAACTTGAAGAGCATTGAGGGAATTGTCATCAGCATGGGGGATTCGTCGAACTTGGCTGATTTACTGCCTACTTACTATGCCAGATTATTCCCTTTCCACGATTATTACCGGTGGCTGAGCTATGGAAACGGTACGTCAATGTTGTTCGATCCTGAGACTAAATAGCTTAGTAAATGCACGAATTCTTGTTTCAGTGGGCATATTCACCCGTCGAGAATTCTCGTTCACTCTGCAGGATGAGATATATCTTAGATTTCAATCGTTCAAGAGTGTTAAAGAGTTGTCGAGTGAGATTAAAAGACTGATCCCATTTAAGATAGACATCGGTGCGGTATACAACTTCTGGTAAGTTTTTATCGATACTACGACGAACGAACGCATGCTGTAATTTCACTGTCATCTACAGTCCAAAGGATCAGAGACAAAGTGCGAATTTTCAACCCGTAGAGAGGGAGCTGGTATTTGATATAGACATGACAGACTACGACGATGTAAGGACTTGTTGCAGTGGTGCAGATATCTGTTGCAAATGCTGGAAGTACATGACAATTGCCTGTAAAATTTTGGATACCGCGTTGAGGGGTAAGTAGAAAGTTAATAATAGTACTTGTGCCACTCATAGGTCTTGAATTTTTTCAGCGGATTTTGGCTACAAGCACATTCTATGGGTATTCTCTGGGAGGAGAGGTATACATTGTTGGGTATGCGATCCTGGTGCACGTAATCTGAATTCCTTGGAGCGTGGTGCAGTGGCAGAGTATCTCCAGGTCTTAGACGGTGGAGAGTACATGAAGAAGAAAGTGAATCTACGTGGAGAAAGAATACATCACTCCATCAAGTGTGTAAATGTACATCAAACTTCTTACTGGTGAACAGTTTTCATTAAAAATTATAACTTGGCTTTCAGACGTGCCTTGGACATGATAGAACCTATGTTTGTTCCCTTCTGTGTAGAGGAGCAAAACATGTTGGGCACAGAAGATGGAATGAATAAGTTTCTGCAAATTATTTCGGATGACGACGACAAAGAGGTAGTGAAGACTTTATTTGGTCAATGCAATTCTAGTAAAGACCGGTGGAATGCCTTCTTGAAATTTATTAAAAGCAAGAAGGAAGCGGTATGTAATGATAATTACATGTATACGGTATCTGGATACATCTGCTGATCTTTAATAAAATATATGTCTGATCTCAGGGAGAAAAGAAATGGTACCATCGTCATCTGATCGAGGAAATAATGATACAGTACGCCTATCCGAGATTAGATATAAACGTCAGCAAAGGAATGAACCATCTTTTAAAGTCTCCGTTCTGCATTCACCCGAAAACTGGAAAAGTTTGCATACCATTCACCATGAACACGGTGGATAAATTTGAACCGGACAAAGTGCCAACACTCTCTACGCTCGTCGAAGAAATAAACGAGTTCGACTTGAAGGAGAAGGCTGAGCAGGAGACCTATGACTTGAACAAGAAGAGGATAAAGGATTACAAGAAAACTAGTCTGAATAAATCGTTCCGACTCTTCCAAGAATTCATCTGGAACCTCGAGAACGATAGAAAGGGTCAGAAGATCAAAGAAAGCGGTAGGTGTACCATTCTCAATTAAGCGTGTAATTGCATTTCTAATCAAATCCGTATATTTCAGACGAGAAAATGGAGTTCTAACTTGTATCCTAAGTATTCGAAATACGTGTAATAATAATGTAAATTTATGTTTTCAACGAGTTTATAAATAAAAGTTTAAGAAACTTAAATCGCTGATGAGTTATACGATTCAAATTAAATCTAAATTTCTAAAATGAATCATTCCTCGAGATCTTTACCCACCGTAGATAACATTGAAGAATTTTCGTCGATAAGCCAGGTCTCCGTATCTCCGTGCCCTGTAGATTCGACGCAGCTCCTTTGTACCTTCAGCTCCCAAATTAAAGTCCACGCAGCGCTGACTCGATGATCTCTGCAAGGAAAAATCTTTTAGTACAATACACTCCTAAATTAAAGTCCAAAAGGCGTCATCGACTCTTTGGAATCTACAAAGAGACAGCTCTTCGATGGTCTCGAGTTAAAGTCCAGAAAGTTATTCGACGCTAGTCTGCGCTATACGCGGCAAAGAGTCGGCGCCACACATATATCACCGCGAGAACGTTCGAGAAAAAAGTGTGACTCGTAGAAACCAAGTACCGTATGGACTTCAGCTGGAGAGCATCACCGAGTGGTCCTCGCGATTGCCTTTGAATCGTCGTGCCCGACTGTTTACCTATTCAGTAGCTATCCGCGACAAGATAAACCGCCTGGCCGACGACAGACGCACAGAAGATCGTCTTGACACCGTGCCACCGCGGTGAGATCGATTGGCAATGGTTTCTAAAAAAAATCACTTTCTCCGCACGTACACGCGTCTCTGTCTACCTCCGTTACTTTTTCCTGTTCCCGTGTGAAATACAACAACAACGTGAGATGATTCTTTCATAGGACACGCGGGGCTCTGTCCTCCGTTCAGCATTAGAACTACCGTGCAGGACGATTGATTGTCTCGTATCTTTCTTGAAAAATTAGAAACAACAGAGACTTCTGTCTTACAGCTGGAGAAAGTCAATTGAATTGGATAGTCGAGATCCTGAATGTACTTCTGTATGTTGGTTTAGGTATCTTCGAACGAATTTAGTTAATTTCATCTTCCATCCTCGCGCAGGGAAGTTGCTCAAGCTCTTCGGAGCCTACAGCGTTCGGCCTCGTCCTCTTCAGCTGGAACACGTTCACGTCGGTGTACCGAAACGACCACGCGTATCCCATCAGCCAAAGCAAACACTTTTGCTTATGGAGATGTCGACGCAGATGTTCACCGGAACAAATTAGCTACCGGCCGAGAGGGTATTCGCATTCGGTCAGCGCGAAGGCCTGAAGAGGATCGTATTAACCGCGCTCCGACGATCCTTCGAGCCTCATTGGTCTCGATAATTACGAGTCCTCGCAAATACTCGAACAAAGTTGACGCCGCGAATGACTTCATACGCTCCAAGGATCGCTCGTTTCTTTACCGAGTGAATAATCAGCCAAGAGGCACGCGCATTCTTGGGAATTGCGGAAAAGGCGACTGAAAATCACCGCTATCATTGTTTAAAACCTCTTCTATGCTTTGCGAGACTTTCAATTTGAACAGTCTCCTAGACTCGAGTACACTTGGACACTAGCATTGTCCGGGTTAACCCTTTGCACTCGGATGTTTCTCGCTAGAAATATTTAACGTCGATATGTTTCACGTATCGACGCATTATACAAAGTTTACCATTAAATATCACATTCTATAATGTTACTGTGTCAAATCAAGTGGTGACTAAGAGTCACCTCTCGAGTGCAAAGGGTTAATATTCGAAAACGGAGCAAAGAGGATCGCCGGAAAGGAGGTTTAATCTGCTGGGAGACTGTAAATGGTCCAGCGGTCTGTCGGTCACAGTCGATTAGGATTCTAATTACGGGCGTCGATCGGAGGCGTTCCTCTTTTTTTCTCGCGCGAGGCCCGGGGCCGAGTAAACTTCGCCGACACACGATCGGTTCGATCCAGGGGAAAAAACAGCCCTACAGGATTCGTTCGATTCGCTTTCCATCGACCGCGGTCCACCCGGCGTGTAACGGGCGTAAGTAATAGGCGGCGAGAACAACGGGAGACGGTTTCTTGCGCGAGATGTATGCAGCGTGCTCCCCGGTCGAGCCGAAAATTCTACCGACACCCATGAATAAACGAAACGATCTAAAAAAGAACCCGACAGAACCAACAACGTGGAGCTCGTTACCCGCCTGACAAATTGCCAGTCGTCCTCTCGCGTGAAAAACTTTCACGATTTTTAGGTTAAGTTTTCTGCCCGCGGATCACGGATACTTTCGAATACTTTCGTGTGCTCTAGAAGAAATTCGCTGTCACGATAGCTAGGTTTCATCAAAGAAGGGGTAAATTTCATAGAAGTAATGTAACTTTTAACTTTGACTAATTTTTCATTGAAAGGCACCGGAAATCTAATGAAATTACGATGCAAGTTTCACGAGAGTCATATAGCAACGCGTATTGTAATCTTTAGAGGCGGTTAGAATCTAACGGATAGACCGAGTAACGATCTCTTTTGGTTTTCATCGTCTCTCGAGCAGCTGGATCGCGAGGAATTTTGAAAGTCGCGCGCTTTCGAAACCGAGCCGTATTTGCTTTTCCCCGGGCGCAAACAACGGGTTTGGGCGTTTATTATAGTAATTACCGCACGCTCGAGACTAAGTCGCTGGAAGATCGGAACGATTTTACACGCGCGACCCGTCCGATTCGGCGGGAGCCAGAACGCGCATAAAAACCGTCTGGGTTAACGTGGAATTAACTTATCGCGTGATCGCGGTGATTTGGGAACGAGACGGAGAGAAAAAAGGATTGGGCACACGCGAAACGGTTTGTACGACTCTACGGAGGTAGGACTGTGCGTCCGCAACTGTGTTTTAATTTCATTCATTCAGAGGTTGACGGAACAATGACAAGCGTCGCGAGCCAATTTTTTAGGACGATTCCCAGAGATTTCGCGACTTTCTGCGTACGGGAGCAATTAAGATGCAGCTGTTAAGTCGATAGCGACGTGCTCTTTATAACCGTTGGCTATAACTCACCGTAATTTCCTGAATCGCAACTGCGGCTCGGTAACAATTAACGATTAGAAAAAGCGGCGCGTAATCGTATTTACCGTCGCGTTTTGCCCGATGTCAATAACGTGTAATTAAATTATATTTCGCCTGCTTGAAACTCTAGGACGTATAATTCAATTCAAAGGGGGTAACGGGACTTTACGTCCCATTTTGAAAGTGATTACCGGCTGCTCCATTAAGAGTGTCGTTTAGACGTCGGGGAAAAAGAAACTCCTCCTCCTAGTTTAGGATTCTGCGACCAGAAAAACTCGACAAGTTAATGCGTATCAAAGCAACATCGGGTTCCAGCGGCCGCGTACGTTTCATATTCTTCTTGCTTCGTAAAAATATCGCTGCTCGGTAAAAACGTCGGTTTGATTAATTTCTTTCGATTCGGGGAAAGGGCCGATCGTTTATTTCCCGCGAGGTCCGAACGACGAACTTCAGGAAGCGTTCCAGCGACACCCGATTTATTTCTCCGCGAGAACGTAAAGACCGGCTCGCGTCTTTCAGAAGACAATTAGCCCATTTCTCGTCCGATCTCTTTCTGACGGATGGCGCCGCGGAAGAGCCGTTCCACGGAAAGAACATAACCGGGTAATGGAATCCCGTCAGAAATCGTAACGAGAAAGTTCGTCTCTTTCGCGAAATTACGAGCACAATGGCGAGCACAATGGCGAGCACAATTGCCAGTTGCCGCAATTATCTATTTAGAGATCATTATTGTTCGCGGTCGCAGTTACGCGCGGCTCTTTTCTTTTTTTTTCCGTCTGGTTTTTTCCCCGGAAACGGCGCGCTTTTCAGGAACGATGCACGCGCGGCGCATCAGGAAGCAGGAGGCCTAGGGTCGGTTTACAATGGAGCCGCGATACTCGAGGAGAGCAGCGATCGTAAAGTTACGTTCGGTAATTAACCAATTCATACCATTTACGTCGGAGCCGTACTTTTTCACGATCCGGAGCTGAACGATAATGAAAATTTCTCTCGAGTTTCCTCTTTAGATGGTTGCCGAGCGCAATCCGCTCGCGACGGCGACGAAAGAAATCAGACAGAAGCGCAACACTTGTCGACACAGCCGGCGGAAAAAGGTTGGAAATCCATCCGCGCTGGAAACCGATACTTTCGTTTACGACACGTGTGGGAGTTGTTCCGAGAAGACGGCAACGAGTTGTCGTCGCAATCGTCACCGGTACGAGATTCCTGGGTTCTTTGTCGCGCGACCGATTCAAGGAAGAATCGTTTCTTGCGGGTCGCGGCCAGACCGCGATCGATCAGCGACTGAGTCACTTCCCGATCGCTGGAATCGTCGACGGAACGTTTCTTTCTTCTCGAACCGGGTCCAGCGACCGTAAGCGACACACGCGCGGCTGGTCGGCATCTCGGATCGTTCGAGAAACCCCTTCCGAGCGAAGATATCGCGGACTCGCGCGAATCTGGGTCGTCGCCGCGGCATCGTCTTCGATCGGTACACGCAGGATCCGCTCGAGGACGAATGCAGATAAGAGCCGCGCGCACTTTCTCCTAATGGTATTAATTTCATGCCCGTGATTCGGCTACCGAGCGTGTAATCGACGTGGATCCGCGCGATCGATATCGATCCGAGGCGCGCCGGGACGGACCAGTGAAAGTACGCGCACCGGGCCGATCCGGCGCGGTGGATCGGACGGAAATTAATCTTCCCGGAATCTCGTTAACGCGGCCGAATCGATGGAAACGCTCGCGGTCGGTCCAGAGGGCACGATGACTCCCGTAAATCCAGCGATGACTCGTACGTTCGCCGGACTTTCGAGAGGACGATTATACGCGTAAAAACTGTCCCATTTATTAGCATCGGTTTTACCGTTCCTCCTGGAATCGAATTCCGGATTCCGCGCGCGGTTCGTGCCCGCTCCGAGGAACGTTCCAAGTTCCCGCGAACGAATTCGCGGCCGATCGCACGGTTCAATCGTGAAATTCGAAGGATGCACGCGTACCGAGCTGGGTTTCGTAGGACGCGTGTGCCGATGCCGGCCCGGGAGCGCGGCCAGCGTGTACAGTTAGACGCGCCAGGCGGACAGGCAGGCTGAGTTGGCT